CAGGTTGGAAGGAATGCTTGTTTATATCTCATCAGCTTCTAGTTGGTGGAAATCAGTCACTTCCCCTTGCACTATAGGGTTTTTTTTTTTTTTCTCCTAAAGATTACGCATAGTGGTCTTGCTTTTGGCTATGTCCTGGCAACAATTCTATAACTTGGCAGCTATTTCTTTTCTCCGGCATGGGCCATATTTGGTATATAAAATATTGTATTGTGAATCAGCTCTAAAAAATTGAAATGAGAAGCTAGCAGGTGGTATGGAGGTAAGGTGGCTAGATTCCGTATGGCCAACTGTGCAGTGTTGGAGTCAGGCCCCAGAGGGGTTTGAAGACATGCTGGATGCATGTGCACACATACCCAAAACCCCTGGAGGAGAGTGGAGGAGAGGATTGCAGTGTGGTTATCCCCTCTTGGGGGGGGGGGTGATTACTCACTTTCTTGCTCTATCTCTCTCACTCTTTTTTTTTCTCTCTCTGATGAATGTATACACACTATATAGCAAACTAAAAAGAAAAATAATTGAACAAATATATGAACCTTAGAAAAATTGATAAATTAAAGGCCCAGCCATGGTAGAACAAGCAGTAGGGTCTGTTGTGCAAGGCTGGGGCTGCATGGGAGGCTTGGGTTTATTTCTTATATAAACCTAAATAGGCCAGTCATGGTGGTACATGCCTGTAATCCCAGCAAACTGGAAGACTGGGAAAGGTGGATTGAGGCTTGACAAGACCCGGTCAAAAATATCTGACTCTTACTTAAAAAATACTTTTATATATATTAAAGCCAGCATGGTGGTTTTTACCTGTAGTGCTTGTTTGTTTCTTTGGTTTTGGTTTGTTCTATTTTTTGTTTTATCACTTGCTTTCTTTGTTTTTCTATTGTGTTTGTGGTTCCCCTTTACCCACTGGCAGAGTCTCATTGTTCTGCAATTCTTCTCTCTCTGAATAGCTGCACTCACAGGTGCTCGCCACCATGCTGGCTCTTTCATACAGGGTCTTGATATGTTGCCCACGCTGTCTACAAACTCAGAATCCTCTTGCCTTAGTATCTGGAGCAGCAGGAGCTAGAGGTGTGCACCACAATACCTGGCTCCTTAGGTGTGCTGGGAGTCAAACCTGCGACTCCCACGTGTCCTCAGGATGCCAAGCACCAGCATCCAGCATATGCTACCCTGGTTGGTCTATCACCCCTTACTTTCTGGCACTAAAAAATGCTCCAGGCTCATCTTATATATTTGCTATTTCAGTCCTAGAATCAGCCACTTCTCCAAAGGGACTCGGACCCTTCTATTGGAGAGTAGTATTAGAAATCAAGATCTAGGGGCCAGGAGATGCCATAGTGCTTTCATCACTGGAATTCCACATGACCCACTGTGGTTTCAGTCCCGGACCCGGTGACTTGAAATTCATGCTGGGTGCATGTACTTGCATGCCCAAGATCCTGGGAGGAGACTTTCCCACTCACTATCTTGTCTGTCTCTCTCCCCTGCTAGTGCACATGCCCTAAGGCTAAAACCTCTACAAAAAATAAGTCAAGATCTAGGTGCTAGGTATGCTTGTTGCTACTGGAGGGTCCTTTCTTTTAGTCCCTTTTAGCTGACAGATCAAAGAAGAATATACACATCCATAAATATTTCTATAACAGAGAATTCAAAGAGTTAGTGGAAATGACTCCTATCTCTCACCATTAGCAAAAATAAAAAAAAATCAACTCAAAGTGGATCAAAGACCTAAACCTAAGACCTCAAGCTATAAAACTACCAGTGGAAAACACTAGGAAAACTCTTAGAAACATTGGGGTAGGCAAAGACTTATTTTTTTAATTTTTAAAAGAATTGTTTATTTATTCAATTCCATTTGTTATTATTATTTTTTAATTTGACCAGAAAGAGAAAAGGAAAGACAGAAATCAAGCCACCAGGTCTAGGACTCAAACCGCCATCGGCCATGTGGGAATCTCGCACCCTTAACCACCATGGTACCTGCTAGCTCCTGGCAAAGACTTCTTAAATAAGACCCCCAAAGCACAGGCAATAATCCCCCAAATAGACAAGTGGGATTACATCAGATTAAGTTTCTGCACAGCAAAAGACACAGTAATTAGTGTGACTCAACAACCCTTGGAATGGGAGAATATTTTTGTAAACTATGCCTCAAGTAAGGGACTGATAATTGGAATACACAGGGAACTCAAGTGACTTACCTGAAAAAAAAAAATGATCAACCCAATTAAAAGATGGGAAAATGAAGACATACAAACAGCCAAAAAGCATATGAAAAATGCTCAACATCCCTCATCAGAAGGGAGAGACAGATCAAAGCCAAAACAAGATACCACCTGACCCAGTCAGAATAGTGAAAATTAAAAAAAAAAAAAAGTCTTGGCAAGACTATGGTGAAAAGGGAACTCACTTACACTGTTGGTAGGAATATCAATTGGTCCAGCCTCTGTGGAGAACAATATGGAAGTTCCTCAAAGATCTACAAATAAAATAACCATATGATCCAGCAGTTCCACTCCTGGGTATCTACCCAAAGGATAGGAGAATGTTCAGTCAGAAAAGTGCTCGCACATCTGTGTTTAATGCAGCATTATTCACAATTGCCAAGACATGTAACCAACCAAAATGTCCATGAGCAGATGAATAGATTGAAAAAGCGTGGTATGTATACTCTATGGAATACTACTCAGCCTAAAAAATTAAAAAAAAAAAAAAAAAACAAGATTCTGGCATTTAATAGACAAATATCGAAGAATTTTCTGCTGAGTGAAGCAAGCCAGGCTGTGAAAGAGAGACATTGTATGTCTCCACTTAACATATACCAACTATCCGTACTCTATGGCAGAAACTGAAAGGTTAGAGACTATAGAAGCATAGAAAATGGCTAGAGATACCAAAGACAGTATGGGAAGTGGGTGGGAGAAGGGAGAGAATATGAGGAAAAATTAAAGAGAAAAGTAGAGAGACAAGACATTTATGGGACACAGAAATGGATTATAATCTGTTGATGATAATGTAATAGTATCCTGAAACTGACTGGCATGAGGTGTATTCATGTTGGGTAAATTCACTTTACAAGCTAAGTGATATATACTGATTGAATGTATAAAGTAAATGAAAAATGTTTTAAAGTTCGTGGAAATGAAAGTAAAATATGAGGTTTTTTAGGTGCAAAAACTGTAAAAGTTATGTTTAGTGTTTTTGTTTTTTTGTTTTTTGGCACTACACACTTTCCATGAACTTTTAGGACTCCCTCATATGTCACCATCTATATTTTACAAGTTCTCCCTGATGTCTCTGACTCTAATTAAGCCATTATCATATGGGTCATTCTAGCTTTTCCCTTTGCTGATCTGTAAATTTCCAGTAAGAAGTCATAATTTTCATGTAATCCAGTTTACCACGTTTTTTTTCCCCCCCTCTTGGATTGTGCTTTTGGTTTCATATTTAAAAACTCATCACCAAACCAAGGTCACCTAGGTTTTCTCTTATGTGGACCCTCTGTAAATTTTATGGCTTTATGTTTGTATTTTTTAAAAAAAGAAGAGTAGATACTAATGAGGAAGCCTGATCCTTATTATGTCTTGGCTATGGAAGCAACTATTCAAGATGACTTGTTTTGCACCCTGATGGCCTATACTAGCTAGGAAATGGTCTTAGACACAACATGGGAAACCCAGAGCTGATATTAGTGTGAGAGTAGATTCATTAGATAAGGTTGTGCATTTGTGTCCCTGGGGGTCACAATGAAAATACCTTTTCCTAAGAGAAGTAATTTCTACACCATGAAGAGGCTGCACTTGCATTACAGACTTGGGCATCTTGAATATGGACTATTTTAAGGAACACTGCTTTTTTTTTTTTTTTTTAAGAATTATTTTATTGAATTTAATTTACTAATTTATTTATTTTATCTTGACCAGAAGGGAACAGAGTAAGAGAGAGACAAAGAGAGGGAAAGTGAGAAAGCAAGCTACAAGGTCCAGTTTGAACCATGGTTGAACCATGGTTGGCCTTAACCATCATGCCACCTGCCAGCCACAAGGAACACTACTATTCTGAGAACCTCTTTCTCCCTTAAAATACAACCTTTCTGGGGGCCAGTAGTTGGCTTGGGGGCTAAGGAACTGGACCCCACATGGCTGACTGATGTTTGAGTCCTGAACCTGTGAGAAACCTGGCAGTTTGAAAATCATGCCGGGTGCATGCGCATACGTGCCCAAAAATGGAGGAGAAGGGATTGCGGCATGCCCATCTTCCATGGGGGCTAATTTCTCACTTTCTCTCTCACTGCCTCTCTCTGGTGAGTGCACACACCCTATGGCAAAAAACCTGAAAAATTAAAAAAAACATGTTTTTGATTTAGCCTCATGGATGTAGCATGCAGAGTCCCGTTGCCCTTTGACAGGTACTTGAGCATTTGACTGTACTGTCTGTACTGAGTGGGCTGTTTTAAGTGGGAAATTGAGTTAACTTTACAAGATGGATTAAAGCCTGAGGTGTTTTTAGGAGGGCAGGAAATAGGTATGAGCAGGGAGAAATCCTCTGGGGTGCTAAATGTTTACAAAGAGGGAATCTTAAATTAATATTGGGCCTGAGAAAATAACCATATATGCTAATGGCCCATGGTAGGGGTAAATTTCTTTGCTTGAAGGTCATATCAGCTCTCCTTAAAAGCAAATCTCACAGGGGACCAGCAGTTAGTGTAATGGCTATGTCGCTAGACTCCCATGTAGTCGACCACGGTTCGCGTCCCGGACCCGGTGGCTTAAAACTCACGCCGGGCGCGTGTGCGTGCGTGCCCAAGATCCTGAGAGGAGAATGGAGGAGAAGGGATTGCGGCGTGGGCATCCCCCCTGGGGGGTGATTTCTCACTTTCTGTCTCTCTGTCCCTCTCTGTCTGGCAAGCGCATGCGCCTCATAGCAAAAAAAACCTCTTCAGAAAAAAAAAAAAAAAAAGGCAAATTTCACAGAGGTTTCTTTTCCTTTCCCATCCACAGGTAACAGTCCTCTGGACAGCCCCCGGAATTTCTCTCCAAATGCACCTGCTCACTTTTCCTTTGTTCCTGCCCGTAGGTAAGTTGATAGAAAACCACCTCTGTGACCATCTTGTGGCACTTGCATGAATGTTAGTTGAATGTCAGACGCCTCCAAGTGACCTCTCTTCCAAGGGTGTTACCTCAGGCTGTCACATCAGCCTTCAGAACTGCTTTCCTGCTCTTCTCTCCCAGGTCAGAAGCATGTGTTTAGGTTTTGCTTTATAAATGGCCTACATGTTTGCATTTGAGTGTTTGAATGGGAGAGTAGATACCAGAAGTGGGTTCATTTATATAATCCTAAACACAAGTCCTTGGTATCCTGAGGGCATGTTTCAAGTGTTGCACTCTCACCTGAAGGCTGTCTGCAGGGTGATGGATGAGAAACTATGTTCTTCTCCCGGGAGGACCCAAAGTTCTGGTCTTTGAACTCAGTTAGTTCCAGTGGGCTAGACAGGCCTTCAGATATGTCCTTGTCCTTTTCTTTGAGCTGGGGTGGGACCCATGTGTAGAGATAAGGACAACTATAGGGCCACTGTTTCTTCCATGAATTTAGAAAGAGTTGGTGCTTACAGACCCATGTTTGTATTCCTCCTCCCATGGTTCTCCTCTCTGAAAGTGACATACACTGGGGCTGGCAGGTGATGTGTGGTTAAGGAGCTGGACTTCCACATGGCGGACGGTGGTTTGAGTTACACACGTGGCAGTTTGCTTTCTCTCTCTGTCTCTGGTCAAATTAAAAATAACAGTAATAATAATTAATTAAATAAGTTTTTAAAAAAGTGACATATACCTATTTCTGGCCCACAGTAGCAACCCGGAGAGCTCCACCCATTGCCAGGGTATATATATGTTTTTTAAGTCCTGGCCAGTGGAGAAGTCCCAGCTCCCTGAGATGAATCGTCCAAAACACACACTAAGGTTCTATACACAGATAGTTATTTTTTAGAACTTTTTCTAAGATTCTTTGCTGGCAGAGACTTTTTTTATTTTTCAATTTTTTCTTGGTTAGTTAGTCTCTAGTATTAAGAGTTCCAGAAAAATATGTGGCTCCAGATTTGGAACTGTTAATGGATGGAAAATGTAATATACCTCAAGGCGAGATCAATTTTAATATTTAGACTACTTTTTAAAAAGTTGTGACAGAGGACCAGCAGGTGGTTAAGGTGCTGGATCCCCACACGCCCAAGTGTGCTTTGAGTCCTGAACCTGGTGGCTTGGAACTCATACAGGGTGTATATGTGTGCATGCCCAAAATCTCAGTAGGAAAATGGAGGAAAAGGCCGCCTGCCTTGGGGGTGATCTTTCACTTTCTCTCTCATTATTTCTCTCTCTCTCTGGCAAATGCATGTGCCCTTTGGGAAAAACTTAAAAAGAAAAAGAAAGAAAAGATAGAAAAAGGGCCAGCAGGTAGTGTGATGTTTAAAGCACTGGACCCCACATGACCAAGTATGCGGTTTGAGTCCTGCACCCGGCAGTTTGAAAACACACCAGGCGTGTGTGTGTGTATGTAACCATAAATCTCAAGAGGAGAAATGGAGGAAAAGGAATTGCAGTACGGCCACTCCCCATGAGAGATGATTTCTCATTTCCCCTCTCTCTGGTGAGTGCACATGCCCTATAGCAAAAAATATCCAAGAAAAAAGATACAACAGAAAAAGAACAGCCACCTGAAAGTGGCCTTTACTCACTATTCAAGTGAAATCCAGGGAGACTCCTTGCCCTTCTTCTCCTGGATTCTGTCTGCCTGGGAGGACATGGGCAGGTTGTGAGTTCGATGGCTGACTTGGGAACCCCTGCTGACCCAGCTGCCTTATTCAGAATGAATCTCATACAGGTTTGTTCCGTGGACTCACCTCTCCTCACCCATGTCACTTTCAGTCAGTTACCCAAGAATCCAGGTAGGATCACGATTGTCTGTGCAATCCTAGAAAGAGCAACTAATCCCAGACTTCCTGCCTGGGCTGTGTATGAAATATTAGGGGGACAGCAGGATCCATGATCAGATCCCCAGAGGTGGCATTGAGTCACTTCTCATTATTCAGTAAGTATCTACCGGGCACCAACTCTGAGCCGGCACTGTGCCGAGTGAGTGCTCGGCTACAGGCAGCAACGTCGGCATAGCCCTCCGTCCTCGAAATGTACAGTCCGTAGAGTCTGGGTACTTCTCGCTCCCTTTGGAAGGAGTAGTTTCCTCAGATCCTTACTTAGTTAACTCATTCTTGTCATTCGTGTTCCATCTTAAATGTCACCTCCGTGGAGAGGCCTGTTCTAAATATACAATCCACATGGTTCCTTTGTCATTCTCTATCAAATCATCCAGATTTATTTCAAACTCATGTCAATAGTTTGGTCTTTTCTGATATTATGAATATCTGATATTTTTATTTGCCTTAACCAAAATCGAATCACCTTTAATAGAGATAGGTTCATTTGTTGAAAGCTCTACCTCTTGGTCCAGAATAAGCACGCGGTCAGTGCTTATTGATCAAATGAGTGGTGGGAGAGACGGACAGTAAATGAACAAGCAGACAAGCATAAACTGACAGGCACCACGAAGGGAGAGTGTGTGGTGGTGCGTGACAACAGGAAGGAGAACGGGGTGGAGGGCATGCAAGGCCTGTCTGCCTGACCGGGTGTGTAGCCCATTCCAGGCAGGGGGAGAGCATGTTCCAGTGGTGCCCTGTGCACGCCACTCCCTAGGCTTCAGAAGTACGACAGCGAGGTGGCCTTGGAGCCTGGTGTCACCACCACCGAGCATGCTGCTGTGCTTGGCAGCCTGACGTCGAGTGGTTTGTGCGGAACTTGGAACTCTGCACCGTCCTCGTCCTCCTACCGAGCACAGCAGAAAACACTCCTAGTTCGGGGTGGAGTATGGAAGAGTACTTCAACACTGCCGAACAGGGATCGGGAATCGTTTGTTGCTAGGTTATTGAAGTTAGACTGGAGCAGTAGTTTGAAATATCATGCAAAAGACGGATTTAATGAAATGCCGAGGATAGACCCATCAGTCCCACAGTTTCACTTCAAACCACCACACATTTCTGAACAGAAGGTTTGCCTCTGCCGAGCTTGACCAAATGCCAGGGGTCAAACAGAGCATCTGCGTGGTCCTCTCTTGGTTCTCACTGTACTGTACATCTTTTCACACAGCCATGGCCACAGAGCAGACAGGTAATAGTGGATGTCATGGGGAGAGGGGCTGGGGAACTGCTGTGCATGGCCCGACGTGTGGTTTGTGATTTTGTGCCTTGAGAACTAAGGGTATGAACTGGGTTCTCTGGCTGTGAGTGTGGACATTGGGCCTTTCATATCTAACAGAGAGGCCCTCCGGGACCCCCACCCTCACCCCCAACACATGCTGGAACCAAGACTCCGAGCTCATGTGCTTGGAGGCAGGAATAGCTGAGCAGATCCAAGCTTTTGAGCCTAGGGACAAGTCACCCTTATCTCAGTTTTCATCAGTCACCTCCAGACAGAGGAAATAGTAGTATTCTGCGGTGGCATTTCTTTCTAACTGGTGGCCCCTATTCTTCAGGACATGGAGAATGGCTGCCATGAAATCAGTTTCCATTTTTAATCTAAAGGAGGAATATGATGTGTGAAAAAGTGATTTGACAGAGTTTAGCAGGTCATCCCTGAGTCACTCTTGTCCCATCTTTGCTGGGCTCTGCTTCTCTGGGGTTGACTGCTTTGTTGCATAGAGCTCCAGGGACCCAGCAGAGAGGTCAGGGAGAGCACCCTGTGTGAGCGCCCTCCTGGACATGTCTTTGCCTCGGAGACTAGGTTCCAGCACTTAAAATCGACCTGCACTGGCTGGCTGGGTGGCATGAAGTGGATTGGATCATGTGCATGTGGCATGAAACTCTGGGCTTTGCCTTTACTCAACACAGTAGGAAAAGCTGCTAGGTATGGGTGAGGTGGGGAGGGCTAGCCCTTCAAGGGGAGAAGCTAGCAAGATTGAGTCCTCTTTTTGTTTCCTCCTCATCTACCTCCTTCCTACTCCCCCACCTCCCACCCCTGCCATAACTGTGAGGTCTTGAGCAAGTCACCCATATCCCTGAGTCTTAGTGTTTTATCTGTAAATTGTGATACAAATCTAACTTCTAAAGATCCTCCATTGGGTCTTGATTTCTAAGGCTCTGTGAGCAGCAGCAAAGAAGTTTATCCAACTTCATCCAGAGCAGGCTGTACCCCAACTCCACAAGGAAGAATACTTCCTACCCTATCTCAGGGACAGACAAAGAATTACATGTCCCTGCTATACCTGCTTGATCTTTGTCCTCTACAGTAAAGTAGGTAACTGTGGTTCTTTCCGTGGGAACTTTGGGGTGCATCCTTATAAGAGTAGCAGTCCTTCCCCCAAAGTCTCATCTATGGCCAAGGGTATGTCCCCTTCTCTTGTGTGAGGCCAGTGTCACTCTGGCATATATTCCCCCCAAATGCTGCTATGGTTCCTAAAGGATGCTGGGCAGCCCACAACTGTTTGCCATTGATTGATGCTCAGTTCAGACTTCAATGGTCCACTTCTTCCTGGTTGTCAAGCCAGTGGCCTGGAGAAGACCAAGAAGCCTGCACGTGGAGCCTTAAAAAAAGGAAGTAGCCGTATTTCAGTGGCCGTTCTGTCCTTGTAGCTATGCCCTTAGCCATAGTCCTCTGTCATTGCTTCTCTGGAAGTGAATAAGTTGAGCGTATAGAGATATTTATGCAGAATCATAGGAGGGTAAAACAGATATTCAAAGCCATGGACTCCTTTAAATTCGGAGATGTCTGTCTTTATGGTGAAAACACACAACAGGAGGCTGCTGTGAGAGAGAGGGTGAACGCACTTACTGGACCATGCAGTACTGTCTTGACAAGGAGGAGCTTCCAATGAATCAACTGCCTCAAAGTGCTGATGGACAGGCAGACAGATAGGTCCTGGGCTCAGGGTAGGGTCCTGTAGAAACTGCCTAATATTCATTTCTTATGCAGGACTGATGGACGGCGCTGGTCTTTGGCCTCTTTGCCTTCTTCAGGCTATGGAACCAACACTCCTAGCTCCACTGTTTCAGTAAGTAATCAAATCTGTGGCCATACCTTCTTGACCTTGGGGACGTGCTTCCCTACAGGTTATTATTTATCCAAGACAGTCCTCAACTTTTTCTGCAAAACGAAACTCAAAGAGGTTGTGTGGGGATGCGGCTGAGTGGGTCAGAGGGCTGGTGACAGTTAATAGCCATAACCAGATCCATAAATGCTTTTGGAAAGGACTAGCCAATACCTTCTCTGGGTGTCGATTATTCCTAGTGGAGTCAGAAGAGGGCTTGAGGATGGCCTTTGCTTTGCCAGTGAGGCCAGGCAGGGAGCTCCTAAGGATGGTCCCTCTGCTTCCCCAACTTTATTTTTAGAAATGTAACCAAGACCAGATCACCACTTTTATGTCCCCTGACCCTTTCTCTATTTTTTAAACCTGTTCCTTTAAAAATAGAAAAGAAAAAGAAAGGAAAGAAGGAAAGAGGGATTGTTACTTGATTCAAATGGGATGTGTATCAGCTAGAGGCTGGGCCTGTCTCTAAAAACTTTAACTTATATTTCTTTTAGAGAAGGTTTTTGCCTAAAATCCAGCAGATATACTAATTGCTACTGTGCACCATTGGCCTTAATTGAGTCTCCCATTGAGCAAGTTCGTATTAAAGCCAGTTTGACAGAGTTGGCACATAGCAAGTATTTTAGGCTTTGTAGGTCATAGACTTGAGGTCCCATCCCCAATTCTTCCACCATTCTTCAGGTCTTCTTTGCTCTGTTTGTTGTATTCATCAGTCCCAAGCAAGAGAAAATATCATTGCCTCCCTTGGCCTACATAGTCCTCTTCAATTACTCCAAAGATTTCGTTGGTCTTTGGCAACTGTTGTGCTTAAAATGTTTTCCTAATAAACACTACTCTTCCATAATTCTTTATTCAAATAAGTGGTTTTTAAATCCAAGGTCAGAATCACAGTTGTCCCTTGGTATCCATAGAGAATTGACTCCAGGATCCCCAGTGAATACCAAAACCCATGGGTGCTCAAGTCTCTTTTATACAATTATATATATACTATTCGCATATAACCTACATATATCCTCCTATACACTTTAAATCATCCCTAGATTGTTTGACATTGTACCTAGTACAATGGCAGTCCTATATAAATAGTTATTATTCTTTACTGTTTAGGAATAACGACAAGAAAAAAAATCTGCACAGATGCAACCAATTTTTCCCCTCAAATACTTTTGGTCAATGGTTGGTTGAGTCCACAGATGAGGAATCCACAGACACAGAGGACTGACTGTATGTCTTTGTGTGTATATATAGATATATTCCTGTTCAACAGATTTTTATGATTCAATCCATTGCTCTAGCTGATTGAGATACTTCAAAATAGCTGTTTTGCCCACCATAAGTTACATGACCTCACCAACCTCTTATTAGCTGCAGTGGGGCGAGGATACTTACTGCAGCTTTGATCCAAATCATTTATAAAAACGTGACCGAGAGAGCCCTGTGGAGACGTCTGCCTAGTTGTTTACAGCTTTGTGTATTATAGCATTCTACAAGAGAAATGTGTGCTATTAGCCAAAAGAAAAAGAAATGTCGATTTCTCACTTGGTACTGACCCTGCGGCAGCAGCGTTCTCAGTGTGGTATTGCAGCTCTGACTTGTAGCTGAATTTAGATATTTAGATACTGGGTTGTCAGGAAAGTCATGATGCATTTTTGCATAGAAAAATATAGAAAAAACACATGATGACCTTTCCGACAATGCAATATTTAAACCCCCCAAATCTTGGTCAGTTAGTAATAGAAATTAGGCCCACAGCCTTTCCTGCTCTTCAACCAGTCTTGTCAGGTACAGGGGGAGTTCGCCCACCCTTGAACTAACTGGGTTGCCCCAGCAATGCCTGCACCTGGGGGATTTCTGTCAAAGCCCTAGCTCCCTCCTTCCAGTGGCCTGCTGTGATTGGAGTGAGCTCTGGTCAGGGACCCTAAGTCACGCAGCCATGAGTAGAAGTTATGATTTTTTTTTGCAGATCACGTTTAATCTTTGGGTTCCAGACCTAAAAGTAATTTTCTTCCCTGATGGGTTTCCTTGGCAGTGAGTATCCCTAGAGTCTGGGCACAGCCTTCACAGTCTTGGCAAAGCAGCTCTCTGTGGATAACTGCTGAGAGGAAATGTACTAAGCCATCCCCAGAGAGGCTCTTGCACAGGTGTGGAAGGGAAAACTTAAGGGATGTCGTTTGCAACCACGCAAGCCTAGGACATTTCCCAAGCCAGGAAGCATGATTTATTAATTACTTATCAAAAGCTTCATTGAAAGCAAAGGGTGTGTGCAGAAGAACCTGCTTCCTGGGAAGTTAGGAAGTCTTACACCTCCTGAAGGTCTGGGTCATCTCTGTACAACTCCCGTGAGACTCACACTTGGCTTCCTCAGGGCTGAGGGCTCTAAAGGTCTGGACATGAGCGGGAGCGTGCACAGAATGGACTAAAGGAAGCAGGAAGAGAAGGCCTGCTTCGTGTGTACCTTGGTTTACACTGACCGTTTCAGTCCCTCTCCATTCCTGGACTGCCCGGGAACAGTCCTTAGTACTGCTTGTTTATGTTTCCCCGCAGTCGTCGTGCTCCTCACAGGAGAAGCTGCACCAGTTGCCTTTCCAGCCAACGGCTGATGAGCTGCACTTTCTGACGAAGCATTTCAGCACGGAGAGTGTGCCGGATGAGGAGGGACGGCAGTCCCCAGCCATGCGGCCCCGCTCCCGCAGCCTCAGGTGAGGGGTGCCTTCTGCCACTCCCCGGTACCCATGGATCTCAGCCTGTTGACATAGCACAGGGGTCTACACGCTTGCTTTCTAACAGGCCAAGATAGTACATGTTTCATGCTTTGCAAGCCATAGCCAATCCCTGCTGGTAAAGCACGAAGGCATCTGTGGCTACCTGTACACTTCACCTGCGAAAAAGGCAGATTTAGTCTGCCAGCTCTAGCCTAGCACCTTGGCCAACTTGAGTGAGTCTAGTCCAGTGAAGCTCCAGCCCTTCTTGTGTACAGCCTAAATCATCACGCCAAGAGGTATCCGGTGGTTGTCGAGTGGCCACGCTCTGCTGCCCCTTAGAGCAGTCAGCAGTAACATACCTTCTAGACTCCCTTCAGTAAAAGGAGAGTAATAGCACCATCCATTCTGATGGTGTCCTGGCCACGGCGGTGGATGAAGATGATGGCTACGACCGAGTGAGTGTGGATGGATCCCTGCAGCCTGTCTTTGTCTCACAAAGGGACACCTGAATCTTGGTGGTTTCAGGAGCTCACACAGAATACAGGGCACCTTTCAGGATGGTTGAGGTTGAGAGGACCACAGTGATACTCAGGGACATCCTTGCGGTGTTACTCTTAAGTACCTGGTAATGGACAGGTGGCAGGCATGGCCTACTCCAGGGAAGAAAGGCAGAGGGGAACATGGCTGAGCCTGGGATCACATGGCAGAGACGGGACCCAAAGTTTAACCAACTGTGTGGCTCAAGATTTGAAATGCTTTAAGGAGATATAACCAAGCGTGAGCCAGAGGGGAAGATTTGGGATGTGAGATTATAAATTAAGGCTGAAAAAATATTGACTCCTTTCAACCAATGACCCTGACTTACAGCTCCCTATAGGTCGGACTGGCCTCATCTACCCCCCAGCTCAGAGAGCACATGAGCCCTGTTGGCTGCAGCTAGTCTGGAAAAAGATGTAGGTGTATACAGTTTGCTTTGGTTGCTCTGGTGGTTGTTTGATTTGATTCCCAGAACATGCTAGAGTATATGCAACCCCACTAACCAAAGTCAAAAGGACACAGAGAGTCTTGTTGTGGGGGAGGTCATCTTAGGAAAATTACCAGTGGGCTTAGGAGTAGGCTTCTCCTTTCTAGGCCTTTCCAGGCCCTGGCAGAGGTCTTTGTGAAAGCCTGGCTTCTTGCTGGATGCTAGCCTAGCTCCAGGAGGCTCCACTGTGAACTGAACTAGGTGCTCTGGTCGTGCTAGCAATAAGGAAGCCTCTGAACTCAGCCCTCATGAAGGTGGGAGTGTGTGGGGTACTGAAGAAAGTGGGGGCAGGGGCTCTAGGGTGGCCACTTTTCTCCTTGGTAGTTGCATAGCACTAAAGTAACTCAATTGTTTCTTTCCTATTTAGTCCTGGACGGTCCCCAGTTTCCTTTGACAGTGAAATAATAATGATGAATCATGTGTACAAAGAAAGATTCCCCAAGGTAAGGATCCATTTAAAATGATACTGGTATTGCCCTCAAGGGTGGTTGCCCACAGCCAGCTCTGGTGGGAAGACTGTGGAGCGAGGGAATGAAGTGCTGTCTTCGGGGACAGTCGAGAACACAAAGGCACCATGAGAAGGTGCAAATGCAGAGGCTTACAGAGAAGGAGGTGGCAGTAGGGGACTAGGAGTTTGGGAATTGTACAGTCACTGTTTCTCCACTCCCTAGAGGCACAGAGATCTAGAGGGTCAAAGAGTATCCCATCATATATTAAAAGGGAAAGAAAGAACTGGAAGCCTGATTGCTCATTGTGCACATCAGAGTCCTAAGGATTTGCCTTCTGGTATCACCTTCATTTGACACAGATGTCTTAAGCAGGACCTTATTACCAGGGGCCAGAGGGTGCACAGACTGAGGCTAGCTGGGCTGGCCAGAAGGCCAAGGGAGCAGAGGAGTGGGGCATGGGTCTACCTGTACATCTCTATCTGGAGTTTGCAGCATGTGGTTTCCCTGTTCCTCTGGAAGGTTCCTTCTTTAGACTCACGTAGTGTCCTGGACACACGTGGTAGCTTAGGGAGATGGCGTGCTTTTCCATCCTGACATACACAGTGACACCTAGGGATGAGAAAGAACACAGATTCTGGGCAGACTGACTGAGTGCAGAAGTGGGTCTACCACTTAGCTTTGGGCAGGTTATTTAACTTCTCTAAGCTTCATTTGCCTCATCTACAATTCAGGACGATGAGTATCTATGTCATTGGGAGTTTGTAAGGATTCATGGACGTTAAGCTCATCTCACCGTGCCCAGGGTTTAGTAAGCACTCCGTAACTGGTAGCTCTGAATTTTCTGCTGAACATGTGCCCTGTGGTTTATACTTTTTTTCATCTTGGAGTGCGCACTAGAGAGTAAGAGAGGAAGGGGCAGAACAGTCAGCTGGGAAACATCATCTTATATTTTCTCATGCAGTTTGGGAGTGTGCAGTGTTGAGAAAAGAAACGTGTTCCCCTTCCCTCCTTATATGTCAGGTACAAGGTGCATTGTCTGTCTAGCATTGCATGTTTGTTTACACCTGTGTCTCCAAGTCCTTCCCATAGGGTGGTTTCCTTCCCTGCCTTCTCTCTCCCCTGCACCCCACGCAAATGTATGCGTGTGTATATGTTATGTTAGCCTAAACACACACTAGAAATCAGAAATCTCCACCTGGTGGCGAAGGAAAGACGGCTGAGTGATAGGCAGGTCTAGCTAGGAACTCATTCGTGGATGTGTATTTGTCACTTTGGCATAACTGTACAGTTAGGTCCCCAAGAAACTCCAGCCCAGTCCTCCCTTCTGCTTTGTTGGAATCCAGGCCGGGGTCATGTTCCTGTCCCACTCCAACTTGGCCACTGACCAACAGGTCCCACTTTCAGCAGACCTCTCTGTGACCTGAATAACTTCCCAGTCCAGAGAAAGGTTTGGAAACCAGCCGTGTCCCTCCACTAAGTCTGCACAGCTGGGGGGGGCAGTGGCAACACAGAACAGGAAACCCTGGTTGGCCTGGGGGGAGCAAGAGCCTTCCCAGAGGAGAGAGGGTGCTTGAACTGAGATTAGAAGTAGTAGGAGTTTGCCAGGCAGCATTGGCAGGGGTTCTCGACATACAGGGAGCAGCGCGAACAAAAGCAGAGGCATGCAGCTGCACAGAGGGGAGGAGGACAGCTCTGCAGAGCGTGGTGGGAGACGGCAAAGCCAGGGGACTGAGGGCCTCCAGTACGGTGCTGAGGCCTGTTCGCATCTGTAGTCGTCGGATCTCCCTAATGCAGCATTGGAAACCAGGCTCGCGGGGAGCCTGTCCTGTACACTGTCCAGGTGCTTGGGCTCAGCTCCAGCCGAGCTGGGACTGGAAGGGAAGTGTCACTCTGCTTGCTTTCATTCGCAGGCCACCGCACAAATGGAAGAGCGACTGGCAGAGTTTATTTCCTCCGACACTCCAGACAGCATGTTGCCCTTGGCAGACGGAGCCCTGAGCTTTATTCATCATCAGGTGATTGAGATGGCCAGAGACTGCCTGGATAAGTCCCGGAGTGGCCTCATTACATCACACTACTTCTACGAACTTCAAGAGAATTTGGAGAAACTTTTGCAAGATGTGAGTGCCCTTGTGCGAGGGCTCTGGTAAAACCTTCACGTGGGAGTGGGTTTTTTGTCCCCACCTAAGATTGGGCATTTGGAGTGTCCCCAGTCTTCCTGGCCTGCTTGCCACGACTAGGTGTCCTTGCTGGTGTGCAGGACCTACCTGAGTGTGGTCTTTGGTTCCTCCTCAGGCCCCCAGGTTACTGAGAAGCCTGCCTGGTGTCAAAGGAGCTCTGTTGTGTGGATCCTTTCTTTTCTAAATCCAGAGCCGTATTGCTCTGCCTGAGGCGCCAACATTGGTAGTATTCATAAGTATTTGACTAGGAGATTGTTAGCCAGAGCCAAGTGGCGGCCCCAGTGGCTGTGGTGGGCTCTCTTCCACTAGAAATACTGGTTGAAGCGGAGCCTTCAGACTTCCCTCTCAGCCAAGGGGAAGTAGACCAACGCTCGCACTGTGGGCTTACTTATATGCTGATATTCTGTTTGCATGGTAAGGCATTGACCAGTGGGGATTTACATGGTTAGAGACCCCAGCATGGAAAATCTCTCAGAGGCCAAAGTAATCCAGAGACGGCAGACACTGAGTTTTTAGCTACTGCCGCATGTGCCAGCACTCGCTTAGCTGTCTGGCTCCCCAGTCAGATGTCGTCTCACCGAGGTCACAGCTGCCCCGCGTCATACCTTGTGTACAGCCTGGGGGAGGAGGGGTATGCCCACCGTCCCTGGGCTCTTCATGCACTGGTATTTCTTCCAGAGCCCCTTACTGCCCTGACCTCTCCCCAGAGTAGATCCAGCCAAGCCAAGAACCCAAGGCCAGTGATCAAAGAGGACTTCAGTGTGTTGGTAGACATGAAAAGGAACGGCGAATGTAAAACATAATTAGGGAACAGTTACATGTGGAGAAAGGATAATTAAAGATGGTCGTGATACTTGCTGTCAAACACTGGAAGGTTCCTCATGTATAGAAGGTAGTAGATTGTGCTCTGTACTCCTAAGATAAAACCAGCCCAGTGGGCAAGGCTTCCAGTGAGAAATGTGTTGAATTTAGGTGAAAAAACCCTTTCTTCTATAAAAATGTCTTTTCAATTTCCAAAGTAATACATAAGTTGAGACATTGTGCAAGTATGGTTTGAAGAAGCCAAAGTCTGTGAAAACACTGGCAGCTGTTGGTTTCTGTTTAAGAATAACTTTCTAACAGTTTTCCAGCTCTGGACAGGAGCGCTCCAGAAACTTTTAGGAATCAGAAATTGCTGCCTCAGGCCAAGGATTACCATAGAGTAACTTCAGAGGTTCCTTGTATGTCTAAAATTGATCTTCTAAAATGCTAAAGTCAGGACCTTGCCCCCAAACCTCCAGGTGTTATTTAGACCGCCCTGCCCCAGAAGTAGGTCATTTGGGCTGTAGGAAGAGCCCTGAATTTGGAGCCAGTTCGTCTGTTTCCTAATTTCGTAGACTCTTAGAATGCAGAAAAAACTCAGTGCAGGCTCTACCTTAGGGAATTTGCCATCGGCTGGGGCTTCGGACCCAATGACACGCATTTACACCAGAAACAGCTTCCAGTTACTGATGCGTGTGACGTGCCAGAGCTACGCGGAGTGCTATGTGAGAATGGCCCCCCTCTGCCTGTACCGGACGCTGTGATCGCTGAGCCCCAGTGAGAGGAGGTGCTGACTGTGCTGGAAAGCTCAGGGAGGGTGGAGTCTTGACAAACAGGTTGGATCACCAGACCCAGGAAGCAGTGTAAGCAGCATTTCAGAGGTGTCAAGGCACTTGGTATATTCTTGACCCTGCAAGTAAAATAGTTTGGCATGATTAGAGTAAAAGATGCTTAGAAGGAAATGTTGGTAGATGAATTTGAAGTCAGACTGGCCCAAATGGAAGTAGCCTCGTGAGGAGTTTAGATTTTATCAAGAAGGAAATAGAATAGCATTCAGTGGTGGTAAGTTAAAAAACAAGGTGATTAGATTTAGAGTTAAAATCATAAAGGTTCTAACACTTATGGAGTACCTAATACATGCTAGACACTACATTATCACATTTATCTCATTTAATCTCCTAACGACCTTGTTAGGAAGGTATTATTACTTTCTGAACTTCCAGATGAGGAAGCAAGCTTAAAAGGGCTAAGTTAGCCTAGGGTAATTCATTTCTTAAGTAGCAGAGCTAGAGCTCAAACCCAGGTTCATCTTATTCCAGAGCCCAAGGTCATGCATTTTCAAACACTTAGTCGTCATGGACTGACATCTGCTAAACAGGAGGTACCACGCAACCTTCGCATGTGAAGAAGAGAGACACGTCTACTCATGAGGCCTACAGGGTCTGCAGAGACAGCTCATTATGAAACACGATAGTACCATGTGGTGTGAGTAGGCAGCTAGGGGAACGTAGCAAAAGCAGTAGTTACGTCTTAGTTTTCGTGTGTGCACGCATACGTGTGTGTTGTGGGCGAGAGAGTTGACGAATTTAGTTTAAGTCTTAAAAGAATGAACAGGATTTCGTCTCTCTCTTATCATAACCAATTATTTTTTAAGGTCCTCATCTGATATTTTTCTTTCATTGTAACTTACTCACTACTTAGTCTCTGCCTTCACTTTCCCTGCCCACCGTTCCATGTTAACTATCCAGACAGGATCTGGCCCCGTAGCACAGGGGTTCAGCACTGTGTATTGGGAGCCAGATCCCGCATAGCCACCGCTTTTTAAATCCCGGCCTTGGCATCTTAAAAAACATGCCAGGTACATGTGTGGGCATGCTCAGAATCCTGATAGGATGGAGACATGGAAGAAAAAGGATTGAGCTGTGACCATGGCCACTGGAGGATGCATTTTCTCTCCATGGTGCACTCACACACCCTCTAGTAATAATTAAAAAAAAAAAAAAAGAGGGGCCTGCAGGTGGTATGGTGGTTAAGGGCACTGGACTCCCACATGGCTAACTAAGGTTTGAGTCCCAGACCTGATGGCTTGCTTTTTGCTTTCCTTCTCTCTCTCTCTGGTCAAATTAAAATAAATAAATAAAGTTAAATAAAATAATTTATTTTAAAAAAAGAAGAAACCAAGGCAAAAGTCACCAAGGAACTAATTGGCCAGTTACCAATTCCTGTGGCCTCTTTCAGTCCTCATCTCTCTTCACCTCTCATAGAACACAGCGAATACTTCAAACCCTGTCCCCTGCTTTGTCGATTCACCATGCTCTCCCGTCTTGCCATCTCTTCACAAATTCCTCCTCTGCCCATCTTCTAAATGCTGATGTTCCACGGGAAGCCACCCTGTGTGTTCATTCTTTCTCCTGGCTCATTCGCACCCTGATGAGCCCTCCCTGCCCCTGTTTCTTCAGTTGGCATTCATAGGATGAGGATTCCCACTGTGGCTGCCACCCTGACCTTGTGCTGAGTTCCAGATGCCTACTAGACGCCTCCACTCCGACTTCCGCATATTAGCTCATATTCTTTGATTGAAAGTAATGGAAATCCAAGTTGAAGTATTTTAAGTAGTAAAGGGGAACTAGTTATAAGGATGAGAGACCAGCAGGTGGCATAATGGTTACATTACTGGACTCCCACGTTCAAGTCCAGGATTTGGCAGCTTAAAACTCACACCAAGTGCGTGCGTATGCATGCCCAAAATCCCAAAAGGAGAATGGAGGATAAGGGTTTGCAGCGTGGCCATTCCCCATGGAGGGTGATTTCTTGCTTTCTGTCTCTCTCTCTCTGTCTCTTCAGCAAGTGCATGCACTCTGTAGCAAAAATCTCTCTTTAAAAAAAAATTGTAAGATAAAAAGGGTGGATCTTAGAAAATTGAAGATAGGAAAGTCTACATGGTGTGATAGTGGTAAAATGTGATGTTCTACGAGACCGACCCACGTGGGAAGGTTCTAAGTTCACATCCAGAGACCTCCCGGAATCTACGGGGAATTCATGTGCCTGCCCATGATCAGAGCTGGAGGAGGCTGAGGCTGGGGTGGGTCAGTGTTAGTACCCTGCTGGTGGTTCTGTCTCGCCCCCACCCCTTGCCCTCACTCACTCATAGAAGAAATAAATGAACTTTAAAAAGCTCCTTAATTCTGAAAGGAAGAGAGCAAGAGCTAAAGGAATGCAACCAGGCCTTAAAAAGGAACCAGAACAAGGAACCAGAAACTGTGGGACGCTCGGGAAGTACCCGGCCTCCTTTTCTCCTCTCCGTTTTCTCTGTGCTTTATTTTCTCTACCTCCGTGGTAGCTGTAGCCATTCCCTGTCACCAGGTGTGGGTCATGCATCTGCTCCACTGGTGTCCCAGCTGCCACTCTGTCAGTTAAATTCCTGGGAAGGTCATTTACGCAGCTCGGCTGTTGGAGGTGGGGTAAAAGGGGCTGCCATACGTGCCGATGTGGCTCCAAGGAGCAGAGCAGTTCTCTGAATGAAGAGAAAGCTCCTGGGCCAACCGCATACCCACGACAAGATCTAGGAAAGCTCTTCAAACTCTGCACACCCCCAACTGAACTTCGCTTTCCTCTTCGTTGTTCTTTCTGTCGAACCAAACATAGCAAGTTCTTTACCTGTCCTCACTAAACTGCTTCTCTTCGTAGAGTTCCTATTTCATTTATGGGGTCACTGAACTGTCCCTGAAGTTGAAGTTGCAGTTACTGTCCATTCCTGCCTCTTCGACCCCTCAGGTCTGCTCAGTCACCTGCCTCTGCAGTGGCCCCAGTCTGTCCACGCGTCTCCATTCTTACTTCCGTGACTCGTAGATGCCTGCCAATGGTTTTCCTGCTGTTAGTCTTGCCCCTCTAGTGCCCCTCTGCGCCGTAGCCAGAGTAGTCTTTCTGAAACACCTGGCTTGTCACTCCCCAGCTTTGAGGTCTTTCTGTTCCTTACAGTCTGTCTGGGGTGGAAATGAACAGCAGTGAAGGCTCCATTGAGAGTTGCCCCTTGAGCGGGGGTCTGAAGGGTAAGTGACACTTGTTGGTGGAGGAGCAGGTAAAGCCGCGTGTCTATGTGACATTCCTCGGTGTCCTGTAGTGTTCAGAAGCTCAGATGGTTCCTGGTGAGCAGCTTGCTCCCTCTCACAGCTGGCGGCCTTCTCTGAGCCCTTCTCTGTGCAGCGCCTCTAAATTACCGATCGTTTCTCCCTGTAGTGGCTCTACCCAGTTCAGTCCTGCTTATGATCAGCCCAACCACATGGGGCCAGGAGATTGTCCAAGCAACCTTTGTCTTCTCTACAGGCTCATGAGCGCTCGGAGAGCTCTGAGGTGGCTTTTGTGATGCAGCTGGTGAAGAGGTTGATGATCGTCATTGCCCGCCCAGCTCGTCTCCTGGAATGCCTGGTGAGTAGACCCTGGGAGATGTGGGTGGGCTGTCCAGGAAGTAGCCCACTGTGATGCCCCCACTGCCATTTCTGTGGCTGAGATCCTTATTTATGTCTGATTTGCAAGCAGTGGCGGGCTAAGTAGGTTCACGAGGACAAATAGGTGGACCTGAGGGGTACAGCAGGGAGAAGTATTGGTCTGGTCCATCCTTGCACTGGGCAGGCCCCAGATCAGTGAAGATCTTAAGGGGCAAAGAGCATCAGAAGCATGGGTCAGTAGCTTGCATGACTTGAGTCCTTCATTTAATCATTCAGACACTTTTCTGAGCACCTACTTCATGCTAACTCTGCAGAATCCCTGACCTCAAGGTGCTTCCCCTGGAATGGAAGTGGGCAGTAAAGTGAGGGACCTGGAAGGTAGGCCATGGCTAGATCAGGGAGCGTTTGGGCCTCAGCTCAGGAGTGCGCGTTAGCCTAGGGGCCTCTTAGAGCCACCAGGAAGTTTAGGTAAGAATGTGGTACAGTCAGGTTCATTTTGCTCAAACCAGCTTTATTAAGGTGTAATTCCCATGGAATAAAATATATCCTTTTTTGAAAGTGTGCAGTCTTAACAAATATACACCTGTGTCATCACTGCCGTGGTCAAGATAGACAACATTTCTGTCCCCTCAGAAAGTCTCCTGGTGCCTCTTACAGCCAGTCCCTCCCCCTGCCACTCCCAGGCAGTTAGGTAGCTGCTTTCTTTCACTGTGGAGAAATAAGCCATTTGTTCGGTATCGTGTGAGTGAAACCACCTAGTACGTGCTGACTTCTTTCAGCATAATGTGTTTTTTTGTTTTGTTTTTTTTGAGATTCATACACATGATTGCAGATACCAGTCATTGGTTCCTGTTCATTTCTGAGTAGATTTTCCATCAGGCTTAGTTCTAAGACAGAGGACTTTGGCTGCAGCATGGATAGTGAATTGGAAGGTCAGGATGAGCCAGGGAAGTCAGTGCAGAGGCACTCAAAGCAAATCAGGTGAGATGGGGTGGCCGGGCTAGGATGGTGGTGGAACAGAGAGGAAGAGGTGGGTTCGAGAGGTATTTATGAGGCAGACGTTCTGACCAGATGGAGGCTGAGGGAGAGTGAGCAGTTCAAAGAACTTCCAGGTCTGGCTTAGATTATGTTCAGGTAGGCAGCAGCATAGTTCTCCAAAATAATGAAACTACAGGGGCCAAAAGCAGAGTTTGCAGTGGAGGCCACGGTCGTAATTAAGCAGAGAGCCTCTTCTTCAGGAACTTGAGGAGCTTGTGCGAAGCAGCAGCTTTGAGTCAGGCCTCGGTATGAATGAGGATTTTCTGCTCCTTTCCACCTCTTGGGCTCTGGTCAAGTCGGTGCATTCCTGTGAGCCTGGCTCTCCCTGAGGTTGAGTCTTCTATGGATTAGTCCAGAGTGTGACACTTCCTTGGCACCCACACCTCGTTCCAGATAAGGACTGCTCTCGGTTCAGCCTCAGTCTCCAGCCCCTTGCACTCAGGGGCACTCAGTAGATAGGGAAGGTCTAGGTGAACTTCCTGTGAGCCCTAATTGAGCGAGCGTGTGCTGGGACTGCTCTGGACAGAGCATCCGAATACACCTGACAGTGCTGCGTGGCTGGCAGGAGGCTGAGACCAGGCAGACAGGCTGAGCTCTTGAAACTAAGAGCTCTGGCCCTTACCGCTGGGAAGAAGCATATATTACACTTAGGATGTCCAGTCTGCGGGTGGCCTGTGAGGGACCTGTGTGGTAGCTTCATCCCTCTCTTCCTGAATCATGTCATTTCTGGGTATTTGGCGGGGGTTGTCCATCAACAAGGCCTTCATCTCCTTGCTGGTGTGTGCTGTAGAACCAAGCAGGCCAGCGGCCTGCACGTGTATCTCTCACCACTGACCACCTCTTCCCCCCGAGACAGGAGTTCGACCCTGAAGAGTTCTACCACCTATTAGAAGCAGCTGAAGGTCATGCCAAAGAGGGACAAGGGATTAAATGTGATATTCCCCGCTACATTGTCAGCCAGCTGGGCCTCACACGGGATCCCCTGGAGGGTGAGCATGCTGCTTTGGGGGCACTGCAAGGAGGCCCACTGCCAGTGAGAACTAATGGCAGGGGAACCACTGGCAGAAGAGATTAGCCTGGATACGGCCACGATCTGACATCAGGGGCCTCAGGACCACAGGAGGCATCCTGCAAGGTCTGTCCTAAAAGCTTCCTTTGGAGTTGCTGTGCTTTTGCCTGTAGACCCCCAACCCCAGCCTGGGTTTGTTATGGGGCCAACTGGGTTGGACTTAGAGCCTCAGATCAAAAGAGGTCAGCAACAAAGGACCATGGTTACATTTTCAAAGATGGCCGCCACCTCTGCACACTTGCCTTTTCCAGCCAACCACGTTCCAAGTCCTCCCGTGACTTTAGGATGGTCTAACTCAGGGCTTCAAGGGATTGTTCCATTGGTCTGGGCTTCACGCTGAGCTCCTGCATGAGCCAGGGGCTTCCAAGTGCCTCGTGTCTTCTTGTCTGGCTCCTGTTCCCCCTGCTTCCTGGCTTCCTTTGGTGAAGAAGGATGAGAACTAGTAGCCCAGTTTTAAGCCCTATTTTCTAGAAGATGCCCTAAGTTTGAGAGAAGCTTTTATAGCATTCTCTAGGCCTTATGAATGGCTCAGGACTTCCAGAAATAGGGGTAGCAATGCTTGTTTCCTGATCCCAAAGCTGTGACTGCACTGAGGGGAGTCGCAGGACTGGACTGCATCCCAGGCTGATGCAGAAAGCGTTAACGCCTGTCCTCCGTGCCCCATCGTGTGGTCTGAGGGTGCCACTGAGATGCCAGACACTGCCACGCACACTGTCCACTGGTGTCCTTGCTTTATTTCCAGAAATGGCCCAGTTGAGCAGCTACGACAGTCCTGACACTCCGGAGACAGATGATTCAGTCGAGGTAAAGACCCCGAGCTCCCACCCCAGTCCTGGAGCCTGGGTCCGCTGAAGCTAAGGGCTAGAATTCTCTATAAAAGAACATCTAAACGAGAGTTGGGAAGCCGGTGGCTGCAGAGGCTGCCCGGGAAGGCACTTGGGTCCTGGGGAGGGATGGGCAGTAAGCTGCTGCAGTCCTCAGGGCGGAGCTCATGCTGGGCCCACAGCTTCCCTAGCACCCGAGTTCTGAGAAGCGTGCCCATCTCCCCTTTGCTTTGTTTTCCAGGGCCGCGGGGTATCTCTGCCAGCTAAAAAGACACCCTCCGAAGAGGACTTTGAAACCATTAAGCTCATCAGCAATGGCGCCTATGGGTAAAAGCAGGGGTCGGTGTGTGGCCAGGACCAAAACCGAGCTATCCCTCGGTCTCTTTGTCTGGAAGCGCTGATACCCAGTCCTCCGGGCAGCAGATGCCTCAAGGCGGACCCTTTCCCTCCCTGCAGCTTCCTGGGAAGCAAGAGTTCAGTTTCCTCTGACATCAAGCCTTGTTCCTTGCCCAGACAAAATTCCCACTCCTCCTCTCCCTGAGCTCTGGGGAAGTGACCCACCCAGACCCTTCTCTTCACACACACCCCTGCCCCCTTGGCCTGTGTATTTACCAGGCAGTTCGGGTGGGATATCCCAGCTCAGGTACTGAGGGCGCATGGGGGCCGGGCGGGTTGTGCTCCCCAGGGCCGTCTTCCTGGTGCGGCACAAGTCCACCCGACAGCGCTTTGCCATGAAGAAGATTAACAAGCAGAACCTGATCCTCCGGAACCAGATCCAGCAGGCCTTCGTGGAACGTGACATACTGACTTTCGCCGAGAACCCCTTTGTGGTCAGCATGTTCTGCTCCTTTGAGACCAAGCGCCACTTGTGCATGGTGATGGAATATGTTGAAGGTACTGAAGGTACCAGGGGAGGCGGCCTGGCATGCAGGCCAAGGCACAGCCCTAAACAGGGACCAGCAGCTCTGTGTAAGGGTGAAGTCACAGAGCCCGGCTGCCCGGCCCTCTTTGGCAATGGTTTCTGCCTCAGGATCTCGGGATCTCAGGAGCACTTGGCAGGTGGACACAAAGCCCCGGCCTCTGCTCTGAGGCTGCCCACGTCACGGCAATGAGCCGCGCTCTGGGGTGGGCCTGGCTGCCCAGCAGCTTTAGAATCTTGCCCTCGAAGGCTGCAGTCTCTCCCGCAGTGCTGCACAGGCGGGAGCAGAGGTGGTTGCCGAGCTGCGAACGCCTAGAGTTGGGTATGGGGGACTGTGTCTGGTTTCTCAGAAAAAGGGACAGACTGGCTGGGGCTTTTGAAGGGGACACCCCTGCAAGTACTCCGGGAATGGATCAGAAGAGCGACTGGGGCCCAGCGCTGCAGAGAGGCAGAGCCTTGGCCGTCGCCTTCCTTCTCTCCCCCCACTGCTGTGCCCACCTTCCCAAGACTTTCTTCCTGTCTTCGCATTGAAGGGGAATAGAGCGCTTCCTTTAATTCAGTGGCTACATGCCGGGGTTGCAGTTATTTTAGTGGGAAACTAAAGGAAAGCCAGTAGGGAGGAAATAAATGCACATGAGTGCTGAAGCCTCAGCCCCACGTTTAGAGGGTGCAGTACCCCATCCTGAAATAACAGCCCGTCCCCACGTTCCAGCCCATCCTGGTGCTGATAGAATACCCGAGTCTCGGTAACTTAAGAGGAATAGTGTCTATTCAGATCGCAGTCTGAAGGTCCACGGTCAAGGGCCACATCTGGTGAGGGTCTTCTTGCTGGTGGTGACATGGCAGAGGGCCAGACAGAGCAGCACATGTGTCTATTCTGGTCTCACTCCCTCTCCTAGGAGCCCACCAGGAATCGGTCGTGGGGGCCCCAGCCTGATGACCTTAATCCTGTACAACCAGATCCTATCCCATGAGTGGGGGGAGCACACATTCAAACTGTAGCACCCTACAAGCCAACTTGTAGGCCTAGGGACTTAGGTTCTTTCCCTGTCTGGCCTAAAAAGTAACCGGACAGGCCCTGGCAGGTTCACCTTGTTTTCCACTGCCCTCCCCACTCTGTCTCCCACCCATCCTAGCAGCAAAGGGGCCGGCATCACAGTCTTCAGCATTGGGGTGTTCTGAGGAGGCCCTTTCCTCTGGAACCTCGGAGGTTGCAAGCCCGGGAACTGGCTGGAACGGGGACCTCGTTCCTTCTCTCATGGTGGCCTGGGCTTCTTGCAGGGGGAGACTGTGCCACTCTGCTGAAGAATATCGGGGCCCTGCCTGTGGACATGGTGCGTCTGTACTTTGCGGAAACTGTGCTGGCCCTGGAGTACTTACACAACTATGGCATCGTGCACCGTGACCTCAAGCCTGACAAGTACGCCATGGCCTGGGTCCCTCGCTCCAGGTCTTCCTCTTGGGCTCTAGATAAATGGAGGCAAAAATAACACATTCAAATCTCCCCCCAGGGACTGGTAGAAAACAGTTCTGTATGCGTGTCTGTCTAGGCTTAAAGCTCCAACCAGTGCAAAGATATGACCACGAGGTTTGGCAGGAGCACTGTGGGCTTCGGCGACATGAACCCCTGAGGAGCTGGGCCAGCAGATGGCAGGGTCGACATCCCAGCATTCGCTGACACCTGTGCTGTGCTGTGCTCTGGGTTTAAGGGTAGTCCCTGGGGTGTAGAACTTAACATCTGGTGTGGGAGACAGAAATCAGACACACGCATAGAGGCTATTTGTTGGAGGGCATTAGTCAGGTGGGAAAAGATGGGAGTTTTCTGAAGCTGGGGAGCAGGATGTGCAAAGGCACTACCAGTGTGACAGTGCGTGACCCACCCAGGAGCTGTGATATGGCTGAGGCTGAGCTGGCTCAGTCAGCTGGGAGAGGAAAGGCCAGAGGCAGGCAGGGACTAGATCAAGGGCCTTTCTGTCATGTTTGAGTTTTATTTTTTATTTTTTAAATAATTATGTCTACTTATTTATTATTACTATTATTATTATTTTAATTTTCTATAGGGCATGTGTGTCCACCAGGGGGGCGGGGGGAGGAAAAATGAGAAACAAGCTGCCAGGTCTGGGACTCAAACTATAATTGTACATGTACATGTAGGAGTCTAGCGCCTTAACCACCACACCACCTTCTGGCCCTGTTTGTACTTTATTTTAAAGGGGCCTACAGACTCTTTGACGAGAGAGGTGACAAAGCTGTAGTAGAATGACACGCTCGGATTTTGGCTAAGGTTAAGCAGATCACTGCCAGTAGAAAGAAGACCACTGCAGTGGGCCAGGCCCAGACGGCAGTGCTGCACAGGACAGAGGCCGAGGTGGGGAGGAGGGAGAGGTGTAGGGAAGGACAAGACGGGGTTGGTGTGGGGGTGCGGGAAGAAGTGAGGGAGCGGAAGGCTAGGACGGCGGCCAGATTTCCCACTCGGGACTAGGGCGGGCTGATAAGCCCCTGTGGTGGCCAGTGGCTTTGACACTAGACAGGCATGAGTGCACATGACCCTCTGCTGCTCGTTAACTCCGAGTTTGAGTCTGTTGATTAAATTTCCCTGGGCCTAACGTTCGTTTGTTCCTCCTCTCTACGGTGGGGGTAATATGACCCACCTTTGTTATGTTAGTTACTCTAGAAAACCTTTCAGGGGCCAGAGTGTCTTGTCACAGAGCTCGACAGACAGTAGAAGTGGGTTCTTAGACTGGGAAGAGCTGGTTTGTTCTGGATGGGGTGAGTGTGTGGTGCGTCCGGACATCTGGGCAGATAAGCAGGCACAGACCAGAGACCTTGATTCAGGGAGGCAGGAGGAGGCCCCTGGCACAATAAAGTGGCTCGGGTAGAGCAGGCAAAGGAATCTTTCTGGTTTCTTCCAACCAGTCCTCCTCCTACGACCATGGATGTGAGACACGTTACGTGTCCTTTTCCACTCTCCTGAGGCAGGGCTCTTGTGAGCCACCCAGGCGAGTTGGGGGTACTCAGATTGCTGGAGACCGCGCTCAGCTTGGTAGGAGGAAGTCTCTCATCAGCTGGGCCTCCCCGCTAGGATACGGCAGGAGACTGTCAGGATACGGTTAGGGCAGTAGGTAGAAACGGGGCGGTGGGCGCGCTCGGTGCTCGTGCGGGATGCAGCGCTCACAGAGCCAGAGCTGTCTACTTTATCACAGCCTCCTCTCTACGTCCTCCTGTACCCGTGTGTCCCCGTGCCCTGTGGGAGCCCAAGTGGGCACACTTGGCACGTGCAGATTGAGCATCCCTTATCTGAAATGCTTGGGATCAGAAGTGTTTCAGATTTCAGGTTTTTTCAGATTCGGGAATATCTGCGTTGACATAATGAGCTTTCTGGGGGATGGGATCCAACTCCAAATACAAATTCATTGCGGCAATGTCGGCGCTCAAGCAGCGTCAGATATTAAAGCATCTTGGATGTCGGATTTTTGGATTAGGGATGCTCAGCCTGTACTAAACGCAGCACTCGGAAAACCAGGACGTACCTCCGTAATTTTGTTTCCCTTCTCTTTCAGCCTCCTGATCACATCCATGGGGCACATCAAGCTCACTGACTTCGGGCTTTCTAAGATTGGCCTCATGAGTCTGACCACAAATCTGTATGAGGGCCACATTGAAAAGGATGCCCGCGAGTTCCTGGACAAGCAGGTAAGAGGATCGTCGAGACCCGGGGAGTTAAAGTCCAGACCCCGGAATAGCGTCGTGGGAGCTCCTCTCTGCCTTCTGCTCGCAGGGGGGCATTGAGACGGCAGCTCATGTAGAAACAGGGTAGACCGTGAGAATCATGGGGACGGACAGTCCAAAGTCATCTTCCTCCTCAGGGTTTGGAGAAGATAGGTGGCATGACTGCTGACATTCACGGAGTTTCATGTGAGGTCAGGCCCGCACTTCCCAGCCTGAGTCAAGGACAAGGCTCTCCCAGGGCCCTTGTTCCTGGAGCACAACTCCAAATTTCCATTGGGCCATGGCCCAGTTTCCTGAGAGTAGCCTCTGGACATCCCCCGAGTTGACATTTCAGGTTCTGACTGTTCACATGACCCTCTGGGAGTCACGTGCCTGGCAGTCTGGTCTTTGGGAGGCCGAGGGGCAGATGCCAGTGTGGAACTGGATGCCAGAGGGGTGTCGAGGGCTCAGGGAGTGGCGGTTCCAGACTAGAATTAGACGTCCAGTTAATTAGGAAAGACATAAGCTCACTTCACCGACAGTCCGGCGTGGTTCCCTGGGACTCCTGACTATCTAGTTTATTAACAAGGAGAGCTGAGTCCTCGGTCGGAGGTTTTCTGCCCCAGGGGTGGGAACAGCCCCACCCTCCAGCCATCATGCTTGTAAGCTGCCTATGTGGCCCCACTGAGCCAGCCTGACTTCTCCATGCCCAGGTGTGCGGGACCCCAGAGTACATTGCACCCGAGGTGATCCTGCGTCAGGGCTATGGCAAGCCCGTGGACTGGTGGGCCATGGGCATCATCCTGTATGAGTTCCTGGTGGGTTGCGTCCCTTTCTTTGGAGACACTCCGGAGGAGCTCTTCGGACAAGTGATCAGTGGTAAGTGCATCACCCTGGCCCACGGGGAGCCATACCTGTGGTTGGTGTGTGTACTGTGAGGCGTGTGTGTGTGTGTGTGTGTGTGTGTGTGTGTGTGCGTGCAGTAGGCTTGCTTGAGGGGTGGTTGCAAAGAGAGGAAAAGGGGAAGGGTGGGAACCCTGAGAATGTGAGGCAGTGGGGTCCTCGGCAAGGTCTTCAAGGCTCCGGGCTGGCCCTTTAATGTCTCCCTTCCTTGCATCATCCCGCAATTTCTCCTTTCCCTCACCCCTGATGACTTCAGATGAGATCGTGTGGCCTGAGGGTGATGATGCACTGCCCCCAGACGCCCAGGACCTCACCTCCAAACTGCTCCACCAGAACCCTCTGGAGAGACTGGGCACAGGTAGGACAGCCCCGCCCCTGATATTTCCCACCACTTAGAAAGTGGGGGGGAAGCCAAGTCCAGGCGCCCTGGGCCAGGCTTCAGTGTGGGTCCCCGGGTCCTGAAGCTCGGCCCTGCTCCCTGAGGAGAGAAGGAGAGGTGCTGCAGCTGAGGCCTCTGGGCCTGGTTCCCACTTGCCCTGCTGGCCCTGCCCCAGCCCTGCCCTCGCCCTCCCTGTCCACAGGCAGCGCCTGTGAAGTGAAGCAGCACCCGTTCTTCACGGGGCTGGACTGGACAGGACTTCTTCGCCAGAAGGCCGAGTTTATTCCGCAGCTGGAGTCGGAGGATGACACCAGCTACTTTGACAGTAAGGCCGCCTGTGGGGTGGGGCAGGGCTCGGGCCTCCCCTGTGGCCCGGGAACAGCTGTGCCCACTGGGCTTCTGAACTTGGCACTGGGAGCAACTGCCCAGGGCCCTGCTGAGCTCCGATAGGGTCACGCGTTGGCCACCGGCAGGGCTCTGAGGGGGACCGTCCTGTGTGTCTGGCCCAGCCCGTTCCGAGCGATACCAGCACGTGGACTCGGAGGATGAGGAGGAGGTGAGCGAGGACGGCTGCCTCGAGATCCGCCAGTTCTCTTCCTGCTCGCCGAGGTTCAGCAAGGTGCGACAGACCAGGCTGGAGGCTGGGCAGGAGGGGACCTTTCCAGGGACACCCCGGGCAGGCTCGGGGAGTTGGAAATGTGGCCACTTCTAGAAGAGGAGTGACGGCTGGGCCCACACGTGGCAGGTGCCTCTGGAGCCACACCGTCCCTGGCGAGAGGTGCCAGGGCGAGGCTGGGTCGGGCCCGCAGTTTTTCAGCTGGGGCATGTTGGAGAGGACTGGCACAAGTCTGTGGGTTTCTGGTGCCGAAGGGGTGGCTGTCAGAGCGTGCCCAGCGTGGCCCTGCGCCCACAGGTGTACAGCAGCATGGAGCGGCTCTCACTGCTCGAGGAGCGCCGGACCCCGCCTCCGACCAAGCGCAGCCTGAGTGAGGAGAAGGAGGACCGCTCGGACGGCCTGGCAGGGCTGAAGGGCCGCGACCGGAGCTGGGTGATCGGCTCCCCGGAGATGTGAGCCCTGGCGCTCCCTGGGGTGGGCAGCACAGCCCCTGGGCTGTCCCAGAACCTGGGAGAGCAGGTGCCCGGGAGGCGTGCTGGTGGCAGAGAGGGTGGCACCGAGTGTTCTGTCGCGCTGCACTCTGACCCCTCAGCACGCTCCTGGGGAGGCCTAGGTGGGAGGGGGAGCGTGCTGAGCCCCCTCACCCCAGGCCTGTGTCTCACAGATTACGCAAGCGCCTGTCGGTGTCTGAGTCATCCCACACAGAGAGTGACTCGAGCCCTCCGATGACAGTGCGACGTCGTTGCTCAGGCCTCCTAGATGGGCCTCGATTTTCTGAGGGCTCTGAGGAGGCCAGCAACGCCCCCAGGAGGCAGCAGCAGGAGGGCATATGGCTCCAGACACCCTCACCTGCAGAGGGGGTACCTGGGCCCAGCCATGAACGGCCAGTGGAGCGGCCGCTGAAACTGGACGAGGAAGAAGCAGGCCCAGGCAGTGGTCCCAGTGCAGGTGGGGTGTCAAAGGGCCTGGCCTGGGGATCCCACGGGGCAGGAGGGGCCTTGGCAGCACCACGGGTCTCACTGCTCACTTGGGCCCACAGCCGGGGAGACCCGAGACCGAGGGACCCCGCAGCCGGCAGAGGGAGCCACAGCCAAGGCCATCAGCGACCTGGCTGTGCGCAGGGCCCGCCACCGGCTGCTCTCTGGGGACTCTCTAGAGAAGCGCACCACCCGCCCCGTCAACAAAGTGATCAAGTCCGCCTCTGCCACGGCCCTCTCCCTCCTCATTCCTGCAGGTGAGGCCCCGGGGAAGCCGCGCTAGAACTCGCAGGCAGGGCCTGCGGTAGGGGTCTGTGCGTGGCGCACGTGTGTATGTGCGTGTCGGGTGTGGGTACCTGTGTGCATGTTGAGGGTCGGGTGCCTGAGAGACTGTTGCTGCCCGTCCCTCTGCGATCCAAGTAGAATTGTCTGAGGGTGTGCCCTGGTGTCTGGCTTGTGTGTACGTGTGCCAGAGGCGGGCGAGTGCCGCGTACGGAGTGCAGGCTTGGAGGCGGAGCGCTGATATTCGGGTCCTGGCTCCATCACTAAATGATTCTTGCCTTGAGGAAGTTGCTTAACCTCTGTCAGCCTCAAGTTCCTTATCAAAAAATGTGGCTATTAGTAGTGGCTAGCTCACAGGATAATGGTGATGTTGAGGGGTGATCAAGAGCTGGGTAGTCCTTAGTACGGACACGAGGCTGGCTGCCGCTCCCCATCACGTCCCCCACCACCTGAGCTCCGAGGGGGCTTTGCTGGTCGTGGTCCTGACCGAGAAGCACCAGGGCTCAAGCTGTGTCAGTGGCCGGAGCTGTGCTGGGATTGACAGATGTGACAAGGGACCAGGCTGGGAGCACGCTCAGCCAGGTCCTCTGACCCCCTAACCTTGGCTTTCTTCCTCCAGAACACCACACCTGCTCCACCCTGGCCAGCCCCATGTCCCCTCACTCCCAGTCATCCAACCCGTCATCCAGGGACTCTTCTCCAAGCAGGGACTTCTTGCCAGCCCTTGGCAGCTTAAGACCTCCCATCATCATCCACCGAGCTGGCAAGAAGTACGGCTTCACCCTGCGGGCCATTCGTGTCTACATGGGTGACTCGGATGTCTACACTGTGCACCACATGGTTTGGGTATGTCTGGCACCCGGACCTGGTGTCTCAACCTCATCACTCTTGCATTTCCCGCTCAGTGGAGCCCACGTGTCCCCTGGCTCTGTCCCTGCCCGCTGCATCCTCTGGGGTCCCCACTGAAGGAGCAGAGGCGGGCCCCATTTTTCACACTCGGGCTCCAAACTGAGGACTGTTCTTTTGCCGGGACAGCACGTGGAGGACGGAGGTCCAGCCAGTGAGGCGGGGCTTCGCCAGGGTGATCTCATCACCCACGTCAACGGGGAGCCCGTGCATGGGCTGGTGCACACAGAGGTGGTGGAGCTGATCCTAAAGGCAAGTGCCGGGTGTGCTGCCCGCTGTGGTGCCGGAGTGAATCTGTGCCAGCCGCGGGGGGTGGGAGAGCTGGCACACTTACACCTGGCCCTGAGGACCGGTGCACAGGAACTGGGGAGGCACAGCTCAGGGTCTCCTCTGAAAGCAGCGCCCTCCCTGACCAAGGCCCCGGGATCCGTCTGAGCTGTGGGTAGGACTGGAGAACAGGCCGGGTGCACCTCTTCTCCGTCTTCCCATCCCTAGACCACCGTGAGGGGAGAGTGCAAGTCTGGTTCAGACATGTTGGTGAGCGGGGAAAAGCTGGGGCTGGAACCCCAGCCAGGGCAGGGGCAAGTAGGGCCACCCTTAGCCTGGGCCTCCTGCTTTGCTCCCCAGAGTGGAAACAAGGTGTCCATTTCGACAACTCCCCTGGAGAACACGTCCATTAAGGTGGGGCCAGCCAGGAAGGGCAGCTACAAGGCCAAGATGGCCCGGAGGAGCAGGCGGGGCCGGGGCAAGGATGGACAAGAACGGTGAGCAGGCTTGGGCCACAGGGTCTGCTCTGGGCCACCTGGGTGCTGGGGGGTGCTGGAGGTGCTGGGTGCTCGGCCCTGGGTCCCGCATGTGCCACGCCCGATGCACTGGCTCGCCCTTTACCCTTCCCTCCGCCGCAGAAAAAGGAGTTCCCTGTTCCGGAAGATCACCAAGCAGGCCTCCCTGCTCCACACCAGCCGCAGCCTTTCTTCCCTTAACCGCTCGTTGTCGTCAGGGGAGAGCGGACCAGGCTCTCCCACACACGGCCACGGCCTTTCCCCCCGATCGCCCACTCAGGGCTACCGAGTGACCCCCGATGCACTGCATTCAGGTATGAAGGGCTCCCTACAGAGCGGAGACAGCCCTGGGGGAGAAGGGTGCCCAGGACCTCCCTGCTGCTCGGGGGTCCCTCTCCGAGTCTCTCAGCCCACCCACCCCTTGAGTGATCGGCAGTCTTGGGGAAGCACCGATGGGGCAGGAGGGTGATTGTTCCTGTAACCTGGGCTCTGGTCCACTCCTGGGGTAGCCTCCACAGTCCTGGAGCATTCCAGGGATGAGCCCTGTGTCTCTCTGTGACTTCGCCAGCTAAATCTGCTCTGCCTCTGTCTGTCCGCAGTGGGAGGGACCTCATCCCAGAGCAGCTCCCCCAGCTCCAGCGTGCCCAGCTCCCCCGCCGGCTCGGGGCACACGCGGCCCAGCTCCCTCCATGGTCTGGCACCCAAGCTCCAACGCCAGTACCGCTCTCCACGGCGCAAGTCAGCGGGCAGCATCCCCCTGTCGCCACTGGCCCACACCCCTTCTCCGCCACCACCAGCGGCCTCACCCCAGCGCTCCCCATCACCCTTGTCTGGCCACGGAGCCCAGGCCTTTCCCACCAAGCTTCACTTGTCGCCGCCCCTGGGCAGGCAGCTCTCGCGGCCCAAGAGTGCGGAGCCACCCCGCTCGCCCCTGCTGAAGAGGGTCCAGTCGGCTGAGAAGCTGGCAGCTGCCCTCGCTGCCTCCGAGAAGAAGCTCGCCCCTTCTCGCAAGCATAGCCTCGACCTGCCCCACTCCGAGCTAAAGAAGGAACTGCCGCCCCGGGAAGTCAGCCCTTTGGAGGTAGTCGGGACCAGGGGTGTGCTGTCTGGGAAGGGGGCCCTGCCAGGGAAGGGGGTGCTGCAGCCTGCTCCCTCGCGGGCCCTCGGCACCCTCCGGCAGGACAGAGCTGAGCGCCGAGAGTCACTGCAGAAGCAGGAAGCGATCCGCGAGGTCGACTCCTCAGAGGATGACACCGATGAGGGGCCTGAGAGCAGCCAGGGTGTTCAGGGGCCGAGCGCGGCATCTAACCCGGACGCGGGCCAGAATCCTCCCCCTAGAGGAGCAGCAGAGGGTGGGGAAGAGGATTCCTTCTTGCCCAGGGACTCCAAGAGCCAAGGGCCAGTGGTCCCAGGCCAGTTGACAGGGGTCACACTGGGGCTTCCAAGAATAGAAGGTCCCGGTGCCCCTCAGAGGAAGCTTAGGAGCCCACAAGCCTTCGAGGAGGCCGTCAGCTCCTCACTAGCCCCCAGCCTGGGCAGGTCTGGTCCCACAGATCCCACCCCCGCTGAGGGCTGCTGGAAGACCCAGCACCTCCACCCCCAGGCACTGACAGCACTTTGTCCCAGCCCTTCTGGACTTGTCCCTGCCAGTTGCTCTGTTGCCGCCTCCACCTCCGGGAAGCCAGGTGTGTGGCCCTGGAAGTTCGTTACCGAGGGCCCGGAGTGGGCATCCCCAAGCAGAAATGGGACAACGGCAGGTGGGCTGGCCAGCCCCCAGGAGTTGGAAAGCATAACCACAGCCCACCCCAAGGACCCAGTTCCCAGGCAGGAGGGGAAGGCACGGCCCCCCAGTGCCCCTGGGGTGGCCCATTCCCCTCGCGAAGTTCCCAGCCACAGCTGGCCGTGGGAGCCTGAGTGTGCACAAGTCAAGAAAGAAGAGCCCACCCTGAGCAGTGCCAAAGTGCCCGATGCCTCAGGTGACCGGAGGCAGGACATTCCGTGCAGAGGCTGCTCCCTCAGCCAGGAACCTGGGCCCAGTCTGCTCCGGAAGGGCCGAGAACTAGGGGGCCATCCAAAGCATCAGGACTTGGCATTGGCACCAGATGAGCTTCTAAAGCCAACGTAGCCGTCGTCTGCCGTGTCTCCCCCTGAGACCTGTGTAATAAAGCTCCTGGAAACCGTCTTTGTCTCTTGCTTCTTTCCTTTGGTCCACACACACACAACTCTGGTTGTGCTGCTGCTGGGAATATAGTGGTGGATGGGGAGAGCCACCTAACCCAGCTTGCCTTCCCAGAGACTGATGTCGGAGCTCCAACCGAAGAATAGGTGATGGGTGGTAGTGGAAGATGGGGGTTAGCTTAGGAATGTCCGGGCAGAGTCCGGCATATACTGGGTCGTCATGAAAGTCACCATGCATCTTTGCATAGAGACAAAAAGTATGACTTTCCCGACAGCCTAGTACAGTATGCCTGGGGTACACAAGAGCTGAGTGTAGTTCACGGTGGAAGAGGGCCTGGCAAGGGCTGTATCCGATGCTCTTTAGGGGTTAGACTAAGTGATGAGGAGCCAGCAAAGACCACGTCGTGATTTGTGATGTATTCTTTATGGAAAAGGAACTCGGCTTTCACGCCCAGAGTGATACGGTTTGGGCAGAGGACAGATTCCAGTCTATACTATCTATACTATCTCCTGATTGAGGGTGCCAGAAATGAGAAGAGGGGGAGGAGATGAAGAGTAACACTGAATACATTTCACTTGAGCTACTTCTTTCTGAGACATCCAAAAGGTAATTGGATGCACAGGTCTGGAACTCAGAAATCTGGATGAGGTAGAAGTGGCAGGACCAGCAGTTAGCATAATGGCTATGTCGCTGGACTCCCACGTAGTTGACCACGGTTCAAGTCCAGACCTGGTGGCTTAAACTCATGCCGGGCGTGTGTGCGTGTGTGCCCAAGATCCCGAGAGGAGAATGGAGAAGGGATTGCGGCGTAGCCTTCTCACTTTCTGTCTCTCTGTCTCTGTCTTTCTGGAGAGCACACACCTCTCCAAAAACGAAAAGGAGGGCCACCAGTATATCAGCAATGGTAAGTTCAGGAGCACCAACGTGAGGTAGAGAAGTCTTAGAAGGCAGCTAGAGGGCCATAAAATCCAAGAGTGGGAAGTATTGTGATAGATGCTGAGCAGTCAGGTGACATGGAAATAGGAAAGCGCCCACTGCTCATGAAGGCCTTTGTGTTTGTGGCCAGCCAGCCTTTTCTGGACAGTAGTCAGGCAGGCCTTGGCCCTCAAGTGGGCATGCTGTGTGTGGCCCACGTGTGCACCACTGCCTTGGGAAAGTGGTGTGGCAGGGGAGGGGAGGACCTCAGTGGGACCAGGGAGTGGGGCTGGGAGAGCAGTGCCTCCATGGTGGCGGAGGACTGGCAAACCTGTCTTCTGACCATCCAGCAATCCAGTGCCAGAAGGCCTGGCGACAGGACAATGCTCAGCCACCTCCCCACCCCCCACAGCTCTCCATCGCCCTGCACAGGGAGGGCTGTGGCCACTAGAGGGCGAGCTCTACCCACGGTGGCAGGGCCTGATGGTAGGAACATTTGGACCCCCAGCCTTCTAGTCTAGTCATTAGGTTTCACTTCCTGCTTTCTTTAGTCATTCATTGACGGCTGTCCCGGGCCACCTGTACCTGACACTGGGGAGACAGGTTGTTGCCCTGAGGGTTGCAGGGAGATGGCTGAGGGGTTGAGCACCCCGTGTGAATGAGGTCAGAAGCACCATGCCACAGCGGGTGGGACAGATCTGGCAGTGTTTCATGGAAACTGCCCCTTCTAGGGGGCTGGACATCCATGACACCTAGCACATGGTTCAGGTCCAGGGCGCTCCCTTTGAGACACCGCGGGCTCATCCTTAGGGAAGTATGGAATTTCTGGACAGTAACTTGTAGTACCAGATTTGTCTGAGGACGCTCATTCGCTGCAGTGGTGATGTTCCCAACACTGAACCCTGACAGTGCCGTGGTGGGCCTGGGGCCACACCAGGATAGACTGTAAGGCTGAGCCCACCTCCCCAACCCGCAGAGTATCACGTGGAAATACTTATTTCTGGGCGGAGAACCAGTAAGCTGGACGTATTAGGAGTGGGTGAAGTCAATATAGAAGTCTCCCAGTGTCCTGTGTTGGATGGTTCATTGGCCATTAGGGTCGATTTCCTCTTCCTCAAGGGAAGAAGAGAAAGCCTCTGGCTGCCCCAGTTCAGCCCCAGGACCAATCGTTCTGGTACTCACTGGAGAGGAGGTTTGGGAATTTCGAGGGCTTTGCAACATCCCAGTCTTCTCTTGTGGGCCCAGCCCACCCCTCCATATCACAAAGACAAAAAGATGCTTTATTGCAACGACTTTATTGCATTACTGGAGCAAGTTGGCCAGACTGTCCCCTCTTGGGGAAGGTAAAAAACAAAGACTCAAAAGTATCTCCCCTTACCTTCCCCCCACCCTCCCCCACAACTGCACAGCAATGTCTGAACACATCTGGTGACGAGAACAATTTGCAAAAGTGGTCTAGGAACTACATTATGAACTGCCCCAACACAAGACATACAGTTGGCTTCCTTGTGAATCTGATATTTACGTAAACTACATGAATTGTTTTGACTACATCAAAGACAACGGAAGAATAGTTTTTCACAAGTAACAACAGGGCACCAAAGTCACATGCTGAAATTTGGAAGGAAACAAGGTTGTTTGTCACAAGTGGCTGGGGCTAAAGCAAGGCTGAGCAGTTGGCAGCGGGGGCCCAGGCAGACCTCATCTGGGCCCCTGGTTTCTGAGGTCACTGAAGCCTCAAAGAGGCCTACGCTGGGGTCTTAACTGACAGCAGAGACCACCTTAGAAATAAGGAATTGCCCAGATGCAACTCTTGACTCAAGAACATATGAGGCTGGTTCCTTAGTAAGAAAGGAGACCCATGGGAGATACCACCCTGGCTTCTTCAGGAAATATGAGGTCCAAAGTAAGTGGGAGATCCCATGAAGGCTTGGAGAGGGAGTGGAGGTGCAAGGAAGTCTCATCCTCAGCCATGGCGGTGGTAAGGACACAGGCAGCCTATCCAGGCCTGAGTCATAGGCCAGGTTTGGCATCTGCGGCCAGGCAGAGACAGAGCATTGTCTGTGATGAAAGCTCCACCTGGAAGACATGGGCCTAGAACCTGTGTCCAGCCAGCCCCAAGTAGCTCTCACGTTGGTGGCTGGCTTCTCTAGCCAGGGGAATAATGATTCCCCCCCACCCCCCGGCCTTGGTCTGTCTCCTTACCCTCTGCCTCAGTGAGACCGCAGTTAAGGTGCCAAGAGAGTCCTAGGGCCCAGATCGTGGGGCAGGACACAGAACTCACCTATGAAGGAAGCCAAGACCTGCTCCCCAAGCCCTGAAGCAAAGGAGCAGCGCAGACCCCTCTATGTACACTGTGCCCAGTGGGTAGTAAACTGCTTCCTGTGCTGTTTCCACTGGCTCAGGATCAGGCAAATCATGTGGCAAGTGATCGGAAAAGATACCTTCCAACTCCTTAAATGATCCCAGGATCTCAGCTCCCACAAAGCAGTGAATCCAAGAACAAAAAACAGCAAAGAAAAAGTCAAGGAATGCAGGACTGAAAACAAAGCCCTTCTCCACAGGCCAGCCCAGGTACGGGTCCTATGATGGCGCTCGCTTTCTCCCTCACCCCTTTGCCCAGTGAGGAGCAGACACGTTCATACTACAGGTATGAACCCTCACCCCCATTCTGGTTCATTTTAAAAGACATTCAGAACACACCAAAATGTTAGTAGCAGATAGGAGGGAGTCCTCACACCTAGTCTTGAGCATCTAACTGCTTAAGCAGGTTTAACACCAGATGGGATCCGTCCAGGTGTGCCCAGCAGCCATGGCCAGGCAGTTCTCAGTAAAACTTCCAGCAAGATTTTAATCTGGCAGTTGGGGAAGGGACATGATGGCTGTGAGGTAAGGGTTTGAATCAGAACAGTGACACTGAATGAGGTTTCATTCATCTCTTGTCTCGAGCAACATAACCAAGGAAGAGCCAATGATACACCCACATTGCTAGTAGTTCTGGAGGATTTTTCCAAAATTTTAATCTGAGTCTTTGTCTATTCCATGGCCCATCCCAGACCCTGTCACCAAGATGAGTGCTCATAGGAACTAATCTCTTTCACCCTTAGAACCTGGGCTTGCCTAGCTGTAAGCTTTACGAACCGAGTCCCAGGTACTGGCTGCTTCTCCAGCTCAGCCAGGATGCCTGACTGCACAATGTGGGGCTCAAACAGCTGAGTCACTCTAAGCCGATTATGGCTGCAGGACTGGCTCAGAGGCAGCTGGACTCTGTCTGTCAAATGAGTGTTGACTGATGGGTGTGGGGCATCATGGAGGCAGGACGAGATGCCTGTCTCCCATTCCACTTGCCTGGCTTCACTCAGCTGGAAGGCTCAAACCACATGGAGCAGAAGATTCCTGGCCTAAAATCAGGGCCCCTGGAGCATGAGGGCAGACTGTGCACATTGCCTTAATGGCAGGAGCACAAAAAAGGCAGAGAGAAAGCTTCCAGATGGCTTCTACTAACAGTCTAAACTCCCAAACCAGCCCATCCTCTCCCTGCAAAAGCTTCAGAAACCACTGGGTGGAAGCACATGTGTAACGTGGTTATGACCCTCACCCTGGACACCAGGGCCCTGGGTCGGTGACGTCCTGAGGTCCCTGACCACAATCTTACTCCCCTCCTAGCCACCTAAGTCCTACCCAGCAAAGGAGGGGGGATGAAGGGAAATGAAACCATGTTTACTGTTTCTGCAGGGCTTTTAACCTTGGGGAAGCACATGTAAGAATGTTGTTCTATGTCATTATTTGGTATATCAAGCCATCTAAAAGCACTGGATTGCACCTTTTCTTTACTCATACAAACAAGTTACAAAGGTTCAAACAACAGATCATTCTTTAGGCTAAGGAAACACCACACAAGCACCAACTTCATAGCTCACCATCCCCACAAAAAGAATGCTAGTCCTCATCTCTGAGAATCAAGGGCAAGGCAGGAGGAGCCACACTGACCAATTTTAGTGTCGGCTAAAACTCAAAGTCTAGCTTCTTTTTTATTTTCAAGTTTTGGTACAGGTGTGTGCATTCAGCTCCTAGTGCCTCCGTCTCCTATCAGCTCTCGGTGTGGCAGCAAACACTGTTTAACTGGCTTCTGAATAATGCTTCTGTATAGGGAGGAACGAGTCAGATGCTGAGGCCTAAATTATGCTAGTAAGAAATGAAGTCCTTCAACTGAAGGTTTTTTACCCCGTGGCTTAGATTCTTTACACAAAATCCCAAGCCTCCCCATTTTCCTTTGGTTGTCTTTTTCATCAATCCCATTCTACCACAGAACCAAACGAGGAAGAAAGACCGCCGGAGCACACCGACTCCCAACAGAGCCACGCCCCTGCTGCATTCTCAGAGCTGAAGACCAGAGAACATAGACTCTTCACAGGCTTGCAAATACGAACCCCCTTCCCCCATCAAACCTACAATGTTCTGTTGAGGGTGCCTGGCTAAACAAAACGAAAACCCCAATGAAATAGACTTTCCAAAAAGAACATCGGCTTCCAGCTTAGTATGTCAGTGCAGAGGCACGGCTGAGTCCCAGAGAACCCCAGGCCCCTAGAGCCCCCATCCCGGCCGGCTGCTGTTCGGCCTCTCCACTTCACATTCACAGAATCACTTCTTGTGCAAAACAAGCAGTCTACGTAGAAAGAATGCCCTCATCGTAGTCTAATAAAAACTGTAGAAAAAAATGCTAGAGAGCCACCTCTCTGCTTGCTCCCCCTTTATCTGCAGAGCGACGGCATCTGTGCGTGGACAGGGTAGGCAAGCCTGACGTTGAGGGAGTCGTTGTGCTGAACCAGGGATGTCTGCTGGTAGTGGAGCACCAGCTCCTTCAGCGAGCTGTACAGGTTGTAGGGCTCTGCAAAGCCGTAGCCCCGGGCAGTGTTGTAGATCACACAGTGCTTCACTTCCCCGTCGGCACTGCAGAGACACACCACAGAGGAACGGTAAGGCAGAGGACAACAGACAAGGGCCAGTACACGGCCACAAGTCAGAGCAATGTTAAGCAAAGGACAAGAAGTAGAAGTGTTTGACAAGCAACAAGAGCTTGTAAAACCGTGGTCCCTCCCACCCCCTTATGGACTTGGCCACGGATACAGACAGGTCAAAATAACTAACCACAGAGATAAGGGTTTACTTCCCAGCTCGATTCTGTTCATTGGTCTACGTCTAACCTTGTGACAGTCCCTCACAGTCCTGATTACTGTAGTTTTGTAGTAAGCTTTAAAGAGCATGAGGACTCCAACTTTCTCCTATTTTTTTAGACTGTTTTGGCTACTTTGGGCTCTGGCATTTTTATGTGACTTTTAGGATCATCTTGTCAATTTCTGGAAATACTCAGCTGGGTTTCTGATAGGATTATGGTGCGCATGTGGACCAATTTGGGAAGTACTGTCACGTTAATATGAAGGCTTCTGATCTATGAGCACAGAATGGCTTTTCACTTATTTAGGTCTTCTTTCCTTCAATGATGTCTTTAGTTTTCACAGTACAACTCTTACATTTCTTTGTCTTATTCCTAGATGTCTCATTATTTTGATGCTATTGTAAATGGCATGTCTTTGTTTCATTTTTGGATTGCTCATTGCTGGTATATAGAAATAGACCTTTGTACCCTATAACTCCTGAACTCACTTATTAGCTCTAACAGTTTACTTCTTCCTTTCCGATCTGGCTATCTGTTATTTCATTTTTGTGCCTAATTGCCTGATTAAAACCCTCATACAATGATAGAGGTGATTAGAGCGGACATTCTTGTCTTCTTACTGATCTTAAGAGAAAGAAGTCTTTCTTTAAATATTTATTTTACTTATTATTATTATTCAATTTGACCAGAGAGAGAGGGGAAGTGAGAAAGCAAGCTTCCAGGTTTCGAGACTCAAACCACGGTCAGACAGGTGACAGTCCATCACCTCAACCATCACGTCACCTGCCAGACCCAAGGAAAGCAGTCTTTCACCGTTACATGTACTAGCTGTGGGACTTTCACTGATGCCCTTTATCAGGTGGGGGAAGTTCCCTCCTGTTCCTAGTTTGATCAGTGTTTTTTAACATGAAAGTGTGCTGGATTCTGTCAAATGCTTTTTGTGCATTGTGAAGGTAATCATGTGAATTTTGTCCTTTATCCTTCCTATTGGATCAATTGAGCAATTTATCCCTGAAAGTCAAATTCATCTTCTGTTCTTATGGTGCACAGAATGGAGAAAACTACTGCTATTGCTGGAATTTCAGCCTATACTACAGGTATGGTCGATAGCTACAATTTCTGTAGTGAAATACATAAACATTACTTGAAACTGTGTCCGATATATTTGCTTGTTAGAAAAGTCATAACGTATTTTTTTCTATGCAAAAACACATCACGACTTTTCCAACAACCCAATAGTTTGGTGGTCCAGCACTTGCCATGCTCCAGAGAGGGAAATCATATATACCACCCATCAACCAGCTATTGGTTATTTTTTTATATGATCAGTTATTAATTAGGTTCTTGGCAAAAAAAAAAAAACAAAAAAACTTAGAACACCAATTTGTGAGGATAAACTCCATTTGTAAGGGCAAACAGAGATCACAGGTAGCCCTGGAGCTGAGGAACAGCTTTCATTTTTGGTAAAATTTGCAAGTCCACAGCTTTCTGATCAATCATGCGCTGCTCTGAAATCTCGTATTTCTCCTTCTCTGTGTTGAAGATCTCACCTCTCTGGTGTCTGGGCTTCCACAGCTTCTTTATCTTAAAGTAAGCATTGGTAAAGTGTTCTGGGATTTTTGCTTTGCTATTATCAATTTTCATGGAGGTGGCGATGACAAATTTCTGGTGTGTTCTATGCAGTGGAACTCAACTGAGGAACAGCAGTCCAGCTATAAGCAGCAAGCCACTGCTCAGCTGCTTCAGGAAAACCACTCTCTTGCTTCTGTGGCGTCCAGTGAGGATGATCAAAATGGTCCCAGGAGTGATGCTAGCTTGCAGCTTTCTCACATGCTGACTGAAGGATGTTTTGTTTTGTTTTGTTTTTGCTGCGGCTCACCAGCTTTCAAGGCACATCTTCAGTAGGATAATACCTAGGCATTTTGCAAAGTTTAACCACCCGGTTACCACCTTCTTGTCCCACCAACTGGTTTTGTGACAGTGGCAAGAACCTTCTCCTTTTTCTTTTCAATCCTGGACTTAGTGGCCAAGTCTTTCTTCTTGTACATAGCCTTCCTGGAATCCATGGCAGATCGAGAGTATCTGCTGATGCCCCAGACTAGGGGCCGGGTGTCGGCTGCAATGGGGCTTCCCCTTTTTGGGCATTTTAGTCTTGGGGTCACCCTTTTTAACCTTGCCACTGGCATCAGCCTTCTTGGTTTCAGGATTTTTCTTAGTATCCTGCTTCGTAGCTTGTTCACCTGCCAACTTGTATAGTGGGAAAGAGAACTAAACTCAACCAGCTATTGGTTATTTAAAAATAGTTGGCAGCCATTCTGCCCATACTTTGCTGCCTATTTTACAACACATAGTTCAGCCTGGTTCTGCCATTCACTCCAATTCGAAGGCCACATACAAAAACACTCAGCCTTTCTTTGGTTTCCAGCAAGCTCAGGTTACCCACAATAATCCCAACTCTTGTGTCCCTTCTTGGCGTGGGTGTACATACACAAAACATCAAGTCCTACTGTTAAAAATGTAAAGCAAAGCACAAGATGGGGAGAGTTCATTGTGATATGCTGGGGTCACATCTGGCTAATTTATGTAGTGTGATCAATCCAGAAATAATGCTTTCAATCTCATTTTACTGCATGCTGTATATCAGAACAATTTTCTGTTAACAAACATAATGTTTTGATTTTTGGTTTTAGTACAAACACTCAGGGATAAACCATTCAAATGAATATACCTTAGTTGTAATATTTATTATGTTGATGCTTGGTTAAATTAATTTTGCTCTTTTTCTAGTTTCTAAAGTTAGAAAAGACTAGATTATTGATTTGAGGTCTTTCTTTTCTTTGTGTGCATGCATGAGTGTGTAGGGATATTTTAGAGAGCGTATCACCATGTTGCAGCTCCTGTTTCAGCTCCCCACCAGCTGGGACCATAGGCATGCACCACTGTGCTTGGACTGAAGATCATTCTTTTGTAATACAGACACTTAACAGCTACAAACTGTCCTCTTGGCACTGCTTTAGCTATATCCTATAAGTTTTGATATGTTGGAGTTTCTGATTTCCTTTGTATTCCTTTTTTGATCCATCAGTTATTTAAGAGCATACTATTTATTATACACTTATTTATGAATTTCCCAAATTTCTTGCTGTTTTTTATTTCTAATTTTATTCCACTGTGGCTGGAGAACATACTTGGAATGTTTTCAATCCTTAAATTTATTGAGACTTGTTTTAATGACCTTACCTATGATCTGTCCTGAAAAATGCTTTATGTACACTTGAAGAAAAGAATGTTTATTCTGCTGTTGTTGAGTAGAGTGTACTATAGATGTCTGTTAGACCTAACTATTTTATAGTGTTGTTCAAGTCCTCTATTTCGTTGTTGATCTTTTGTCTAGTTGTTCTACTCCAAATCAGTGTCTTATTTTTCAAATGGCAACAACAGTAACCATTATAAGCTCTCACTACTTGATTTCCCAATCCAGTGAAATACGTGCATTGCTGACTGCAGGTCTTTACACCGAGAGAATCCTGGAGTTCAGTAACTTCTTAGGTGTCTTTATGATGTTATCAACAGAATTTTTTTTAAAAACTGAGTTTCATACCTTGACGTCTTACTACTTGATCATTTTAATTGTGCTATGAGAGTCTACTAAAAAAACTAAATTAATTCAAATCCCTACTTCAGCAAAGGTCCTAGGTATATTGGGAGATCACTGTAGTCAGACTTTCTATAGCCAAAGTGGCTAGCAAACCAGTTGAAGTCTTTGTGGTATCAGCCTCTTTTGCTTCCAACCATCCTAAATATGAACTCCAATATGAAGTGTGACCTCAGTTTCCATGGGCAAGGGAAACCTACACTGCTGTGGACTTGATTCTGGTCAAGTCCACCGCTAAAGGAAGAAGAACAGGAATATAATTTCTCAACACACTGAAGTTGTTCCTTCATTTCTAGAGAATTAACCAAGCTGCTGAAAAGGAATTTCTATCAGCTAAGTCCTTAACGTACAGGCTGCTACCCAGTGACCAGTGTGTGAGTAAAAGACTGGATTTACTGCTTTCCTCCTTATTGTTATTCTTAAAAAATCCCAAATCTTTTGAGAAACATCCTCTCCTGTTACTTCCACTTAAGTCATTTGAGCAGCTCAAATCAGAAAGAAAGAAACTGTTAGAAGTAGTCTATCTTTGGATAACCACAATCCAGTGCATTTTTAACTCCTCCCTCATTTTGTTTTCTTTTTTTTTTTTTAAAGAGAGATTTTTGTTATAGGGCATGTGCACCAGCTAGAGAGACAGAGAGAAACACAGAGATAGAAAGTGAGAAATCATCCCCCCGAGGGAGACAGCCATGCTGCAATCTCCTCCATTCTCCTCTCAGGATCTTGGACATGCAAGCCCATGCACCCAGCATGAGTTTTAAGCTGTTGAGTCTGGGACTCAAACCACCGTAGACTATGTAAGAGTCCAGCGGTGTAACCATTATACATCTGCTGGCCCCTCCTCCCCCATTTTCTGCCTACAGACATCCTACTCCACCTTTCAAGGTCCAGCTCAAATATCTTCCACGAAACCTTCTAAACTACTCTTTCTTCATCAGAATCAACAGTTCTGCATATGCATGGCTTACTAATACCTATTTCATAGTGATTCTTTTTACCTTGTGTATTTAGTAAAATGAAGAAACATGGTAAAATAGAAATATATGCATTTTGAAACCACATAAATGTGGATTCAAAGTCTGACTCCATGGCAGAAGTAAACCACTAAATGTAAATCATGTAAATCACTGAGCATTCTGTTAATATCAATGCCTTACATCTACCTGTCCACCTTGTCCTCTTTGAGGTAAAAAATCACTTTATCATCTTTGTTTGCCTTCTGTTTTAATTGTCCATAACATAATTATCATTGAGTATTAGTAGGTAACTTATACTTACATGCCAGCACTGTTCAAATCATATTGTATTACACTTAAGATTAATTCATTTAATTTTCACAAAAACTCTAATATAGATATGAATTCTAATATAATATTAAATATTAGATACTCTAATATAGGTATTGTTCATCTTATTTTACATATAAGGAAATTGGGCAAAGAAAGGTTAAGTGATTGACCCAATGTTACACAGCTGGTAAGCAGCAGAACCAGGATCTGAATCTGGCATATCTGGCACCAAAGCTTGCCCTCAAAGCCATTATACCTTTTTTTCTTAGTAGGATCTTTGTCAATGAAGATGTTTTCCTTCTTAAGAAATATACATAGTTATCTGCACAATTTCACTTTCCTTTATAATGAAAATAGAATTTTCCCAAAAACATTAAGATCATCTTAAGGAAAACACACCTAAAATTTTTATCACTACCTTGACAGAATATTATTTAATTTAAAATTTTAGGTAGAATTTTTTTTCTAAAGTAATTCTGTTAGATTGTCAGAAAAGTCATGATGTGGGACCAGTAGCTGGCATAATTGTTACGTCGCTGGACTCCCATGTAGTCAATTGTGGTTCGAGGTCCCATACTCAGCAGCTTAGTATCATGCCAGGTGTGTGTGTGTGTGTGTGCATGTCCCAGATCCCAAGAGGAGAAGAGATTGTGGCATGATCATCTCATCTGGGGGTTAATTTCTTGCTTTCTGTCTCTCTGGCAAGCACACATACCTTATAGCAAAAATCTCTCTCTCAAAAAAAAAAACAAAAAACAGTCATGATGCATTTTTGCGTAGAAAAACATGTCATCATTTTTCTAACAAACCAATATTTAATCAAGCCTTTACTAATCTGACAATGGAGACAAAGTTAGGCATAGAGGAAACTACTAAGAAGTAAGCAATTTTTCAATTCAAGATCTCACATTACTTATCACAGACTGAAATCCAACAGCAACACTGCAGGGCCTAATCTGCTCATCACATAAATTTAAGTCCCTAAGATAGTTTCAGATATAATTTCTCCTAAAACCATTTCCTTTATACAAATATTAATGTCCAAGCCATGGCTCCTCATTAGTCAATGCAAAGATTTCAAAAAAGTCCTAAACCCAGAGAAGACTTACACGACAGAGCAAGCGTAGCATCCTTTCTTGCTACTCTCACGAATTAAAAATGCACCATCAGGTTTCCCATAGAGTAAGTCTTCTGCTTGTACTCGATTGATATCCTCGACAAACCAGGTTTTCTCATCATAATGGGGCAGGTTTTCATCTTCCTCATTGATAAAGTAGGTCCTAAAAATTAAATGTTACGATATTATTCTAACAGCCAGGTCACTTATATCTAAAAGCAAATTCATGAATAAAATGCTCTTCTAAATTTTAACTCCAAAATGACAAAGCAAATTTGCAATTAGTTGGGTGCTTTTTAAACAACTTCATTACTTACTATGGTACAGAAAGCACAGAATCCACGTGTTTCATCTCATAAACTGAAACATGAATATCTGGATATCAATGCTATGTATTCAGATTTCACATGGCTGGACAGGTCTCTGAATGCAAGTGTTGTCTATAGGTATTCTTTGGGACCATTCCAGTTAAAAGAGATGCAAAATTCTTGATTCAGTACCAAGTGACAAAGAGAAGCAACATTTAGGATGCATAAAAAAGGCCCATTCTTTTGGGTAACAAAGCCTTCTGACAGAAAGGTATGGAGAGAACTTACTCATCAGCATCCTCATTCTTGATCCCCAGCCAGGCATTCAGGCGTTTCTGTCTCACTCCTTTGTGATTGAGCCATCTGCCAGAAGGAAGACACCAGTGTCAGTATCTATGCAAACTCTGCCTGGACAAAGTAGGTATGTCTGAGCCAACCAAACTTCCAGAGCCTAAGAACCTCTTATTTCCCTAATCCCACAAAAAAATGGCCAAGAGAGCTCCCTAAATTAGTCTTTCCATTTACTCTCCTGTCAAATAGTACCATGATGAATTAATCTTTCTGCAAAAAGGAAGAAATCCAGATAGCTACTTGAAATTAGGCATTTCTGTCGTTTTGCATTTTTTTCTAGAAGGTTATGCTATCCTGTGCATAGCTGCACTCACACACAGTGGAGACATTTGTTTCTGAAATCATTAGTTTAAAGTAAGAATGGTATCGCATTTGCAATGTTCACTAAGTCAAAAGACCCATTTCCTATGTGGCCAAACTGAACTGAGTTTAAAATTCTAATTAAAATTGAAATTTTATTGGGACCAGCAGTTAGAGTAATGGCTATGTTGCTGGACTCCCATGTAGTCGACCATGGTTCACGTCCCGGACCCAGTGGCTTAAACTCCCGCCAAGTGCGTGTGCGTGCGTGCCCAAGATCCCGAGAGGAGAATGGAGGAGAAGGGATTGTGGCGTGACCATCCCCCCTGGGGGTTGATTACTCGCTTTCTGTCTCTCTGTCTCCTCTGTCTCTCTCTGTCTGGCGAGTGCATGTGCCCTATAAGCAAAAACCTCTCCAAAAAATGAGAAAAAAAAAATTGTAATTTCATCAGCTGTTTTTTACATAACCAAGCCACAAGAAATCAGATAGCAATCTGAGTAGTTATTATGAGTTTACTTCATCACAAAGCAAATCATAGTATCTTTAAAAAAAAAAACAAAAACAAAAACAAAACTTTCTTTCTTTTATGAGTTAAAAAGTCAGAGATGAAGAGATAGACAACACCCCTCACAGGATCTTGACACTGTGATCCACCTCCACACCTTCAGCCAGCCCTGGATTATGGTCACATGCATGCCTGGCATACTCAGGGAAGTCTCCAGATTTGAACACAGAACCTTTCCATGTGGGTCAGCCTCACAAAATGTCAGTTTGCTGCTGTACCACTGTTTGCCACCCATATTCTCTTAAGACATGACCAATATCTTAAAGTACAATGACATAAGACATCGATTTAGATCCTTTCAGATGGCCAATGGTATAATACTGGAGTAAAGTATAAAACTACTTTTATTCATTACCACTTGCCAACCAAGGTCTCTGATCATTCAGATACTGCCATCAACAGCATCTCAAGAATGGTTACCCCGACTATCCCAACTAAGGCATTCCCAGGCATTCTACACTTCACTGTATCTTATCATCTCCATAGCACTTAGCCAAAATTTATTATTTTGCATTTCACTTGTCTCCTCCAGCAAAACGTAAACTGCTTTAGGACCAGCTCTATGGCATAAGAGTAACACACCACTCAAGGGAAACTGATGACTATGGCTCAAAACCCCTGTTGGGTCAGCCTAAAACAAACCAGACAAGTGTGCGAGTGCCCACTATAATGGGCTGGAGGACTGGAGGAAGGAGATTTCAGTATGAAATCTGTCTGTCTGTCTTTTTTTTGGGAAAGGTTTTTCTTTTTGCTATAGGGAGCGTATGCTCGCCAGACAGACAAAGAGACAGAGAGATAGAAAGCGAGAAATCACCCCCCAGGGGGGACGGCCATGCCGCAATCCCTTCTCCTCCGTTATTCTCTCAGGATTTTGGGCACGCACGCACACACGCCTGGCGTGAGTTTTAAGCCACTGGGTCCAGGACGCAAACTGTGGTCGACTACATGGGAGTCCAGTGACATAGCCATTACGCCAACTGCTGGTCCCCTGTCTGTCTGTCTTTCTGGCGAGTGCATGGGCCCTATAACAAAAACCTCTTCAAAAAAAATTTTTTTATTTACTTATGTATTTATTTATTTATTTTTCACATGAGTTTTGCCAGAGAAAGAGAGAGGGCGGATGAGAAAACAAGCTGCCAGGTCTGGGACTCAAATTGCAGTCGGCCATGTGGAAATTCCAGTGCCCTAACCACCACGCTACCTACTAGCCCCTATCTAAACTCTTTTATATAGCTTACATGACCCATTAATGGACCTTTCAAAGTCTGGTTTGTATGTGCTATGGTCTGAGTGTGTCTTCCCAAAATTCATGTGTTGAAATTCTAGCCCCTAAGGTGATAGCATTAGAAGGTAGAGATTAGGGGAGTCGATTAGGTTGTGGGGACAGAGCTCTCACGAATGGGATTAGTACTCTCAGGTAAAAGGTCTGAAGACACAGCTAGAAAGCACAATCTGTGAACCAGAAAGCAGACCCTCCCCAGACACGAAACCTGTTATACTTTGATCTTACAGCCTTTAAAACTGTAAGAAATTCCTGCTATTTATAAATGATCTGGTTTATGGTATTTTGTTATAGCAGCCTGAACAAACTAAGATCACACTTATTCATGTCCCTTGGGATGGTATACATCATTATATTTTTATAGCTTTTCAGGGCGAGGAAGTGCTTCCATTCATTCCTTTGTTTTTGGCCTAAACTTGGGCCTCTCTTCAGTTTCATGAAGTGACCAGAACCACAAAAGCATTCTAAACCAGATACATCTGCTTTTAGGTAAGGGTACCTCCTCGCCCTGTTCACAAGGTTGTCCTGTACACTAACATATACTTGCTCGACATTTTTATTTTTTTGGCCACATAACAAACTGAAATGATCTCTTGAGAGAGCAGCCTAGTGTAGTTGTAATTGTTTGCCCAAAAACATTAGCTTAAATTTTTCTCTACTCAAACTTATCTGTTACTGCTATAATCAGTGACAAATTCCGTCCTATCCCCTTTCACATAAAGAAATCCTGAAGTCTATGGAAAACCCAGAGTTGGAGGTCTTTGCTGTTTTTTTTCTGTCAGGAGTGGTGGTGTTGGGTGGTGTTACATGCATGAAGGTCACTTGTAAACATATTTCGTAACAGTCTACCCATTACCCAGAACTAAGTCCAATATATTCCTTTTCCATGGATTCTTTCCTCTAAAACAGTCATTCATTCTTCTTCTTTTTTTTTTGGAGAAGTTTTTGCTATAGGGTGCATGTACTCGCCAGAAAGAGAGAGAGAGATAGAAAGCAAGAAATCACCCCCTGGAGGGGATGGCCACACCGCAGCCCCTTCTCCATTCTCCTCTTGAGCCCTCAGGCATGCCCACGTGTCTGGCGTGAGTTTAAGCCACCGGGTCCAGAACTCGAGCTGCAGTCGACTACATGGGAGTCCAGCAACACAGCCATTATGCCAACTGCTGGTCCCAGTCATTCATCCTTCTAAAAACCTAATCTATACATTTTGTTCTTAGAATACATATGTAATCTATATTTGGATAACATCCTATTATGCCTATAATTGGCTAAATCATATACTTTCTCTAATATTAAAGTGTTGGGTTTCACCACTCAAATAATCCAAGTGCTTGTTATAGGCACATTTCTGTCATTTATATACAGTATTTCATTGTTTAAATATAAAAACCCTTTAAGAGACTGTTCTATGTGCTTGTCTGTAGGCCTCCACTGTTAGTATCTTTTTTGCCCTGTGCCTGTAAAAAAGTAATTTCTATATGTATGGTTCTACCATGTAGCCAAAGATTCCGGCTTTTGTGTTTTAGACAAACATTAATGTGTTCTTTGTAGCTCTATACTTTGCTCATGCCACAGCACCGTCTGAGATTTCTGAGGCATTTGTATGAATAAATGTCCTACATTCTGGTTTGCTCCACATCTTGACTTCAGTTAAACTCTGGCAGTCCCTACTACTGACAGAACTATTCTCAATTACAGATATTTTCTTTCCCCACAAATATCCCTGCTACAATAGGAACCTGCTGCTAGTGTCTCCCTCCCCGTTTGGTCCCAGACTACTTACACAAGGTGCTGATCTCGGATCTTGCGCAGCTGGATCAGGTCAGGTTTGATGCTATTCATTTTTTTATCTATTTCTCGGTTGTCCAAAGCCTGTTTCTTCAAATCTTGCTCTAGACGCATTTTGCTATCATGAATCTCACCCAGACGTGATTTCAATTTATCATAATTCATCATAATCCTGTGAAAATATTTGACATAGTAAGGTTAAAATAGCAACCACGCAGAAGGATCCTATAGCGCAAGTATGGTCCTAAAGTCCTAAGTGTGATGGACAGCTGTTGTTGTGGCCTGGCCATATCCACTCCCATTCTTCCAGCAATAGCACCCTGGTGTGCCTGTAGGTTAGAGTTCTCTGCTCCTGTCTCAGGTCTTGGAGTGGGAACACACAGCCCAGACTAGCCAATAAGAGTATTTCATTCTGTTCTGTCTCTACCTGAAGGCTACAATGACTGCTTCAGGAATGGAAATATGACCCAAACTGACCCAATGGGAGTGAATTCTAGTTTTTGCTAGAACTATTATAAAAAGAGATTCCGTTTCCACTAAAGTTGCTAAATTATGAGTATGTGATTCTAGGACCTTTAGCAGAATGGTCACCTCACAGGGAAAATCTCCTTGAGAAAAACTGAGCCAAAGACAATGTGAGACAGGATCCAGTGACCTTGTCTGGGCCCTGGTTCCAGCCATGACTGACCAAGTAAAGCTGTCAAAAGTAGCAAAGCACAGCAGTGAAAAGGAATGGCTTTCCAATGACCTGACTTGGATGTAATTCTGTGCCTTCTCACTTACTGCAGGGCTGTGGACCAGCTACTTAGCTTCTCCATGCCTTCATTTGCTCATCTGTTTAAAACGGGAACCTACAATAGTACTTACTTTACTGGGTTATGGTATTAATTCGATGATACATGTAAAAGGATTATAACACTGCCTGACACAGCTTGGTAAGTATTTAATAGATGATAGCTATAAGCTATTCCAACATATAAAGTTTTGCTATGGTAACAACTGTCTACATTCCTCTTTCATCACTAAATATGTTACTTACATTACTATTAAAACTTCATCATTCTACTTTACTTCTCTCTACAAATTATTTACTATTTCTTCATTACAATAATAGTAATTATAATTTAAGAGTCTACCATGTGCCAAGATACATATCACTTCATTATCACAGCACTCCAGCAAGATATTATCCCCAGTTTATGGAAGAGGAAACAGATTTAGAGAGGTTAAGTAATTCACTCAAGGTTACAGAGCAAATGACCAATATAGAATTCAAGTTCACGGCTTTAACTGTTAAGCCACACTGAGTCACAGCACTTAGCTTGATCTTCACGCACACAGAAGTTCACTATTACTGTGCTTTTCCATTGCACATGATACATTTTTACTTAAACATAATCATTTTCCCACATCTTTTGACGTCTCAACCCATTACTATCTCCCACTAAATTTGCTTTGATAAAGATTTCCAACGTCCTTGGGACCAGCAGTTAGCGTAATGGCTATGTCGCTGGACTCCCACATAGTCGACCGCGGTTCGAGTCCCGGACCCGGTGGCTTAAACTCACGCCGGGCGCGTGTGCGTGCGTGCCCAAGATCCCGAGAGGAGAATGGAGGAGAAGGGATTGCGGCGTGGCCATCCCCCCTGGGGGGTGATTTCCTGCTTTCTATCTCTCTGTCTCTCTCTGTCTGTCTGGCGAGCGCACGCGCCCTATAGCAAAAACCTCTCCAAAAAAA